ATCAATGGAAGAGAATAGAAAGCCCCAAAATAGACCCTCAACTCTATGGTCAAGTAATCTTTGACAAAGCAGGAAAGAATATCCAGTGGAAGAAAGAGTCTGTTCAACAAGTGGTGTTAGGAAAATTGGACAGCCACATGCAGAAGAATGACACTGGACCCCTTCCTTATACCATATACAAAAATGGATTCAAAATGGATTAAAGACCTCAATGTGTGACAGGAATCCATCAAAATCCTTGAGAAGAACACAGGGAGCAACCTCTTGGACCTCAGCTTCAGCAACTTCTTCCTAGAAATATCGCCAAAGGCAAGGGAAGCAAGGGCAAAAATGAACTATTGGAACTTCATCAAGATCAAAAGCTTTTGCACAACAAAGGAAACAGTCAACAAAACCAAAAGGCAACTGACACAATGGGAGAAGATATTTGCAAATGACATATCAGATAAAGGGCTAGTATCCAAAATCTATAAGAACTTATCAAACTCAACACCCAAAGAACAAATAATCCAATCAAGAAATGGACAGAGGACATGAACAGACATTTCTGCAAAGAAGACATAAAATGACCACCAGACACATGAAAAAGTGCTCAACATCACTTGGCATCAGGGAAATGCAAATCAAAACCACAGTGTGATACCACCTCACACCAGTCAGAATGGCTAAAATTAACCAATCAGGAAACAACAGATGTTGGCAAGGTTGTGTAGAAAGGGGAACCCTTCCACACTGTGGGTGGGAATGCAAGCTGGTGTAGCCACTCTGGAAAACAGCACAGAAGTTCCTCAAAAAGTTGAATATAGAGATACCCTATGACCCAGCAATTGCACTATTAGGTATTTACCCTAAAGATACAAATGTAGTGATATGAAGGGTCACGTGGACCTGAATGTTTATAGCAGCAATGTACACATAGCCAAACTATGGAAAAAACCTAGAGGTCCATCAACAGATGAATGGATAAAGAAGATATATATATATGTGTGTGTGTGTGTATACATCTGTATGTATATACATACATACACAGTGGAATACTATGCAGCCATCAAAAAGCCCCAAATCTTGCCATTTGCAACAATGTGGATGGAAATAGAGGGTATTATGCTAAGCAAAATAAGTCAATCGGAGAAAGACAATTATCATGTGATTTCTCTGATATGAGGAATTTGAAAGTGAGGGCAGGGAGTTATAGGGGAAGGGAGGGTAAAAATGAAACAAGATGGGGACATGGATTTAGACAAGCCATAAGAGACTCTTAATCTCAGGAAACAAACTCTGGGTTGCTGGGGGGTGAGTCAGGGGAGGAATAGGGTTGCTGGGATATGGACATTGGGGAGGGCATGTGCTATCATGAGTGCTATGAATTGTGTAAGACTGATGATTTCACAGACCTGTACCCCTGAAACAAATCATATATTATATGTTGATTAAACAAAAAAGATAGGTTAAGCCTCATAGAGAAGAAGGTTTTTAAAAAAAATTTTTATAAACATATAATGTATTTTTATCCCCAGGGGTACAGGTCTGTGAATCGCCAGGTTTACACACTTCACAGCACTCACCATAGCACATACTCTCCCCAGTGTCCATAACCCCACCCGCCTCTCCCGACCGCCCCCCGCCACAACCCTCAGTTTGCTTTATGAGATTAAGAGTCACTTATGATTTGTCTCCCTCCCGATCCCATCTTGTTTCATTTATGAGAAGAAGATATTTGTGCCAAGACATTGAACCCATTTTTTAGGAATATTTGCACATCCTTCTAATTACATTAGCTATACAAGAAACTTGTGAGTTCTTCCTAATGAAAAACTACTTTCAAACTGTATAACTTAATAGGCTATATGAATATAAATCCTGAAATTCTTTACTTGTTATAGATAAAAGTTTTTGTTTTACAGTTAATTAATGTGATGAATAAAATAGCATTATGGGGTCAAGAGATACAAACTTATAGTCATAAAATAAATAAATCATGGGGATGTAATATACATCGAAGAACAATCTCCATGATGTACTCTTGGTTTACTTAGAAAAGTAAGGAAATGTGACAAAACATTTGTTTAAGTGTTCAAGTTCCTCATCTTAAAGAATTTGCTGTATAACACCTAACCCTCAGGTTGGATGACTCATGAAGTTTGTTTAGAATGATTTTTAAAAATGCACTGGAATTGTCATCGAAATTTCTACTTTTCCTCATAGCCTTTTAATTTTGTCATCTTTCTCTTTCTGCTCATATATACATGCAGGTTTTTCTCTTCCTACTGTCTGTACAGAAAGAGGAAAAGTTGAGAGCAAGTTCAAAGAGATACCTAAGTGGAAATTTCAAAATTGATATAAATCAAGAATAGATCATTGATGTGGAAACCAGTGGAACAATGTTATTATTGTTTATATTCAGAAAATATCGGCAAAAAAAATACCTGACCCTGTGGACTAAACTGTGAGCTACTGAATAAGCAATATTTTTGTGGGCACTGGACTTCTGTTAACTTGTTTACTTTATGATTATAAAACTGCTTATTAATGTTCTCTTAATGAACTCCTTAAGATCAATAGTTATATCCTTGATATAGGTATGCATCCTTGTTTTAACAGGAACTTGTGAAGCACATGAGCAACTTGTTACACTGTCACTTTGACTATAAGAAGCAGCCCACACTTCCCTCCTGTATCAATATTGACATCTGTAAACAAGACTAATAGTACATATCAAAATAATAAGTGATTAGTCCTGTGAGTAGGCATGTGGAAATTATTTATTGTTTTTCCCCATTCTAGTTGTTAGCCAGAGTTTGCTTACCTGAAAAAATCACAACTAAAATGTGTGTTCTGTTTCATGGGATAAAAAGAATGTTTTAGGCACAGTGTCATGGGTTAACTCTCACAATACTTCTGTTAGAAAAGCAAGATCATCCCCATTTTTACTGATGAATAAAGTCATTCCCTGGGAGGATAAGCAAGCAGTGGAAAGAGGATTCAAACTCATCATCCTGACACCACTCTACAGGCTTTTTCTGCAATGCTTTCCTCCTTACCTCCTTTTCAAAGCTTTGTGTCCTTCCTCACAACACTTCTTACTTCCAGTTCTGAGCCAAAGCACTTATACAAATACATTCACAGACACTTGCTTATCCATAATGGGTTATTTTCAATGTCTTCTTTTGAGCATCCCCAAAGCTGATGGAAAACGCTGCTTCTGATCAGCCTTTTCTATGTTACATGGCCTTTCCTCTCCTTTTAACCTAAAGTAAGCCCACAAACATATTTATAGCACTGAAGGTCATTCTTTTCTTTACCTCTGTTTCTCCTTTCTACTTCCTATTGTCTCTTCTGGCATTGGAGAAACACTGGAGAGCATATCCTTACAGACACACTCTTTCTTCTTCTTCTTCTTCTTTTTTTTTTTTTTTTAGTATGACTTTTTAAAAAAAATTGATTGTAAAAAGCACATGATGAAAAATTCACCTTCTTAATCATTTTTAAGTATACAGTATCTTTACTATGTTCACATTGTTGTGTAATCTCTAGGAGTTTTATCTTACAAAGCTGAAGCCCAAGACCCATTGAACAACTCCCCATTTCACCCTCCCACCCCAGTCCCTGAAAACTACCCTTCTACTTTCTGTTTTCATAATTTTGACTACTCTAGACATCTCATATATGTGTGATCATACAAAATTAGGGGGTTTTTTTGGTGACTGGCTTATTTCACTTAGCATAATGTCCTCAGGGTTCATCCGTGTCACAGCATGTGATAGAATTTCCTTCTTTCTAAAGGCTATAGTATTCCATTGTATATATTTACATTTTCTTTATTCATCTATCAATGGGCATTTGGCTCCTTCCACCTCTTGGCTACTGTGAATAATGCATTGTGAATGCAATGAATATGGGTGTGTAAATATCACTTTTGCATCCTGCTTTAAGTTCTTTTAGATATATATCTAGAAGTAGGATTGCTAGATCATATGGCAATTCTAATATTTCATTTTTTGAGGACCCTCCCTATTGGTCCTACATCTTTGTCAATACTTGCTATTTTCTATCTATTTTTTAATTTTTTTGATAGTGGCTATCCTAATGGCTCATTGTGATTTGTTTTCCATTTCTCTAATCATATGTAAGTACGCACTACTTTTTTTTAAATTTAAAATGTTTTGTTTTTATAATTAAGTACATACTATGTGCTTGGTATGCTGTTAAATGCTTTGCATGCAATAGCTCATCACTTTTAACAACCATCCTATGGCCTAGTGGTATCCTTACTTTGTGTATGAGGGAACTAAGAATCAGAGTTTGACTAATTTTCCTAAGGACAGAGAACTACTAAATGGTGAAGTCAGTATTCAAAACCAGGTCTGATACCGAAGCTCACATTTCTAACAGCTGAGTTACTCCCTGCTTTTTGCCTTATCCATTATTCCCCAAGGCAATTCTTGGTGATGAACACAGTTCTACACAAAGGAAAGGGAAGGTAACATTTGTTAAGTGCCTGATTTGTGCTAGACACTGCTAAATGCTTTTAGATGCATACGTGTGAGTGTATTTTGGAGGGAAGTGAAAGAGGGAAGTCCTAGCATTTTACACATACAAACTTCTGTTTTGTTTGCATGGGTGTCATTACAAGTCACAGGACACAATGGAAAGAATGTTGAGTTTGTATTTCTTACTATAGCCTTTGTAAATTTGAAGACCATTTTTTACTATTAAATGTATTAAGAAATATGCAGGAATTCAAGATAAATTCCAATTCCAATTAAGGAATTGATTTTATCCCCGATATTGCCAGGAATATTGCCAGGAAGAGTGTACACAAACAATAAACTACAGGAAAGAAGTCTTTTTTTTTTTTTTTAATTTTTTTTTTTTTTTTTATTTTTGAGAGACAGAGAGAGCCCACGAGTTGGGGGAGGAGCAGAAGGAGAAGCAGGGTCCTCACTGAGCAGGGAGACTGACATGGGATTCAATCCTAGGGCTCTGGGATCATGACATGAGCTGAATGCAGGTGCTTAACTGACTGAGACACCCAGGTACCCAGAGAGGAAGAGTCTTAACTACAGGTAAAAGAAAACAAAAATATATGTTATAAAATATATGAGTATATAATATAAACAAAAATATATGAGTATATAAATATAGGAACTACCAATTAGCCTATCCTCTCTAACACTTGCTTTTAATTTCACCAGCCCTATTTTCCTGGTGTAAGTTGCCTACAACTGTTGCCATGTTGTCTCCCATATTCTACTCTACCCCATGGCTGCACTTCATGTTAGAAATAAAAACAGTGGGTCAAGAATTATAGTATTAATTTTGCTAACATAGTGATGAATTCAGAGCCATCTCTGACATTAGAGATGACCCTGAACACAAGAAATTTGAGTCACAGGAATCCATGACTCTTGACTGCCCATGGTAATATCTAATATTTTAACCCAACCTTCATTTGGTCATGAAAAGCATCAAGAGAATGGAAAACTAAAATTATTTTATCTGTGCCTTTCATTTAAGAAACATATTAACTCCCAATGCCGATTTTCTGGATTGAAATGCTTCGGGATGTATTACTGCACTATTTCAAATTGGTAACACCAATCATAAACAAAAACATCTTTAGGTAAAAAAGCACAAATCTTCTAATAAACTTATGAAAGAGGAGATAAAAATATCTCTTGGTATTTATAATATTCATTGAGTGCTGCCAACATTACAGGAATCAATAAGGTAGCTAGTTTTTTAGCCAAATGTGATCACCACAGCCTGTATCACTAATGTGTGGGGGCACTGTTGTACACTCAGTAATGTATTTTGTATCACAGCCTTGAGCGTAAATTCATGAGCCAGAAACAGTATGCCATATTACCTCAACTTTTCTAAATTTTAGAATAGCTGCATTGAAATCAAACTACCAAGTAAAATGCTGCTCATAGATATCCTATCTCATCATCTGGAATCACAGCCATCTGTGAAAAGCATACCCAGATTTATTGCTGCATTTCTACTACCCATTGTGTCTGTTCTCTTTATCAGAGTTCTTTTACTTTCTTTTCTTCTTCTGATTATTTCCTTCTTTCATCTCTATTAATAGTTCAATATCTCTTTAAAAAGATTTATTTATTTATTTACTTATTTTCTTAGTAAGTTATTTGGAGGGGTGGGGTGGGGTAGAGGGAGAGAGTCTTAAGCAGACTCCATGCTAGGAGCAAAGCGTGACTGGGGGCCGATATCACGACCCTGAGATTACGACCTAAGCCAAAACCAAGTTGGATGCTTAACCTACAGACCCACCCAGGCACCCCAATAGTTCAACATCTCTTAATTGTCCCTGAATGAAACTTCATTACCTCTCTTCTGAAGAAAAAGTGGCTTATGATGGTAAATAAGAATATATTTCAAGGGGTGCCTGGGTGGCTCAGTGGGTTAAGCCTCTGCCTTCAGCTCAGGTCATGATCTCAGGGTCCTGGGATCGAGCCCCACTTTGGGCTCTCTGCTCAGCAAGGAGCCTGCTTCCTTTCTCTCTCTGCCTGCCTCTTTGCCTACTTGTGATCTCTCTTTCTCTCTCAATCTCTCTCTCTGTCAAATAAGTAAATAAATAAATAATATTTAAAAAAGAATATAATTCAAGAAAACAAATGAAAACCACAGCTTTGCTAAGCGATTAGTACTTTATTTCTTATTGTTTAGTTTTAGTCCTTAATTTTTATGTATTACTCACCAGCAAGATTGTATAGTAAGCCTGGCAAAGCACTTCATAACACAGCAGCAGGTTCTGTTAATTATTTCAATGAGGAGATACAAAAGTTAAATCTAAAATGTAATGTGTGGGGCACCTGGGTGGCTCAGTGGGTTAAAGCTTCTGCCTTCAGCTCAGGTCATGATCCCAGGGTCCAGGGATTGAGCCCCGCCTCGGGCACCCTGCTCAGCAGGGAGCCTGTTTCCTCCTCTCTCTCTGCCTACCTCTCTGCCTACTTGTGATCTCTGTCTGGCCAATAAATAAATAAAATCTTAAAAAAAAAAAGTAATGTGTGTTGCAAAGAAGGTAACAGTTTTTGAGAGTCAATGACTTTCACATGAATATTTTTAATGAGGCATTTCAATAAAATTTTTATAAATGAATTTTAGTTAACAAAAAATTGCTCCTATGACATAGAATTGGTGCTATTGATATTTCTAGTTTATAAATGAGAAAACAGTAGTAAAGTTAATGGATATACCGAAGGTCATATGGTTTATAAGCAACTACATGCGATTTGGCTATATGAATAAGGATGTCATATTCCAAAGTCCAACATATCATACTACTAATGCTATATATATTTTTTGAGATTATTTATTTATTTGACAGAGATCACAAGTAGGCAGAGAAGCAGGCAGGGAGAGAGGGGGAAGCAGGCTCCCTGCCAAGCAGAGAGCCTGATGCGGGGATCCATCCCAGGACCCTGGGATCATGACCTGAGCTGAAGGCCGAGGCCTTAACCCACTGAGCCACCCAGGCGTCCCTAATGCTATATTTTATTATGTTATTTTCATTTAAATATTTTGTTATACAAATATTTCTTGGTTTTATATAGATATCATTTTTGTTATCCATATAGTTGTCCACCAAGTTAATGGATATTTTCTCTTGTATGTTTTTGGTCTTGCAGATAAAGATATAGTTGACATTGTCACACATATATTTTCATTTTTGTTAAATTTTAATCTTAGAATAAATTCCTAGATATATAGGTATTGGGTCAAGAATGATTTTTTTTTCAAGGGGCGCCTGCATAGCTTAGTTGATAGAGCTTGTGGCTCTTGATCTCAGGGTCATGAATTTGAGGCCCATGTTAGGCATGGAGTCTACTTCAAAAAATTAAGAAAAAAGTTTGGTTTTTTTTTTTTTTTCAAAGATTCTCTCTGCTTTTCTGGGGTTTATTTTAAAAATTTAATAAGAAATCATATAAATAATGCATTAATATATACTAGTTAAAAATTCTCAAGAAATTTAGTAAGGCATTCCTAGATAGTATATATTTTACTCACTCTGATTGGCCTTGGTCTTTCAAGCTGTTACATACATTAATCCTATAATTGAGAGCCTGACATAGAGCCAGTATCTGAAGGAATGATGATGAGTTGGAAAATGTCTTCCACCAGAAGATACATCATAGCTACCATGCCTTACCAACACAAAGAATGAGTAGTGTTATACAGATAAAATTTGAATTTATTGGTATATATTCGCAATGAATATAGTCATGCTTGCTATATTAAGATCCTTTCTTAAGAAACTTTTATAAGGTAGTTACTCATGGATTATTATTTACGTCTTATCAACTCAGACTTTAAGTTTTCTTTTTATTTTTCTTTTTAGAGAAGGAAGTGTGGGCGGAGGGGCAGAGGAAAAGGAAGAAAGGGAATCTTAAGCAGGCTCCATGCCCAGTGCAGAGCCCCATGCGGGGCTTGATCTCACAACCCTGAGATCATGACCTGACCTGAAACCAAGAGTCAAATGCTTAACCAACTGAGCCACCCAGTCACCCCCAGCCTTTAAGTTTTCTCCTCTGGAAAACCCTACCCAGAAAAACCCTTTAAAATAATGTTATTTCTCTTAATCATGAGTACTCCTCAGCTTACTCACCCTCGTGACAGTGATTCTTTCCTTTATTCAATAGATGATTGCCAAGTCTTCTAGATGCTAAGGATAGAGTACTAAGAGACAGACAAGATTTCGCTTTCCACAGAGCTTCTATAAGATTTCTTCTTCTATAACAATTCTATAATTGTTGGAGAAAGCAAATACAAAGCAAACAGACATTTTAGGTTTATTCAATACTATGGGATTATATGTAAAACAGGGAGATGGGACAGAGATAGTCTTGGGCAATGAGTTGGGGAAAGATGGCTTCTATCTCAAGATGCTAAAGAAAGACTTCTCAAAGTATGTGAGGTAAGATCTGAAAGTTGAGGGATAAGCAGGTCAGGAAACAATAAATACAAATGCCCTGGAGAAGCAAAAAGATTTGCCCAGTAAAACAGAAAAAAAAAGCCAGAGGGACTGAAATATAGTGGATGTGGCAGGAGATGCGCTTGTAGAAATTCTCAGGGCTGATCACATTGGGCATTGTGTGACACACTAAGGAATCTGGATTTTATTTTGTTTACAAGGGGAACCTGCCTTTGAAGGAGAACCAAATGATGTGCTTCGTTGTTTTAAAAAACCATCTGGCTGCTCAATGTCTTGTCCCAAGCCAATCTCTACCCCATCTTGTGAAGACATCTAGTGTGTAGCACACAGTAAGCACTGAAAAACTAAGTGCAAGTCATCCATTTTATGTTCAATATCTTCTTATATAATCTCTTTTTTGACTATCCCTTTTTCTCGTGTTTCCCTAACCACAGGGAAATTTCCAATTCAGGACAACTTAGTTAAAGCATTATTTACTGTTTCTGGGAGCCTTCCTATCTTCAGACTCTACAGCTTGTTTATCTCTGCTCAGTCTCTGGCCCAGGCTCGCTCTTAGGTGCCTCACAGAACAGGAATCTTCCCTAAGGTGCTGTTGTCCTTTGGGACTCAGCAAGAACTAGGCCCCTGCATTCCTTCTCTTAAAGCTGGGTGGAGATCAACATTCTCATGTAAATGAATATAGAAAATGAGTGCAACGAGCAAAATATTCTTGACAGTAACAGTTTCTATAAGATGCACATCAGATTTACTCACTTTGAAGAGAAGAGCAGAACAGTATGAATCACTCCACCTGGATCCTGCTTAAACGGCAGAGAAGGTGCCCTTTGATTGGGCCCACATACAAGAGCCTGAAAAATGGATGTGAAGAATGAGAGGTGTTAGCTGTCATCAGATGCTCTGCAAACACAACTGATATTTCTTATGTAAATATGTAAGGCAAGAAAAAGAGAGAAATTCAGATGGCACACATATTGAGGTACTTTTTTTTTCTTCTGAAAAATCAAAGACCACACAGGAACCAGACAGTAGAACTGGAAATCCCCTTGTATTTACCTTTTTTTTTTTTTTTTTTCCAAGTTGCTGAGTAGGAGTGAGAAAAAGGATGGAAAAAGAGCAGATAGGACCAAGTACTGTCTACTGAGATTTAATGCAACCACTAAATAAGACAACCAAAAGAAAATGAAAAATGGGAGCCAAATCCTATCTTACATGGACAGAAGCAGAGCTCAGTCATTACTAGCTAGAGGATGTATGGCAAGGTGGAAAAGACATTAAGACTGGAGTCTGAAAGGTCAGTCCTGAGCTCTACTGTTTACTGATATGACCTTGGATAAATCTGTAGGTCACTTTGAATGTGCTGGTTTACTCAATCTGAAGATAAGGATAATGATACCATTGATAGCAACAATTTCACAAGTTTGTTATAGCATAAGATAAGATTAGGAAAACTAATTTGTTATTATCATTTTAATAAAAATACCCAAGACTCAAATGATGGTGGGAACTGCTCCATCCTTCCTACTCATCATCTAAATTAGAAACATTTTCCCAAAATCTCCTTCCAGCACACCTACACCCTAATCTCCTCTTCTCTCTTTGCAATTACTTTGCTGAGCACCTTTGTGAGGGCCCATCATTATTCTAGCCAGTTGTGGAGTGGCCAAGCAAGAAGGGATCTGATTTTAAGGACACTGGGTAGGTGGTATGTATTAGCATTGATTTTTTACAGCTTGTTTTGCTGTGTTCATCAGTTGGCTCTTCTCCCTGTGGATTCATTCACTCAGCAGTTTTCCACATTTTCACTTTGTTTTGCAATTATCCTGACTGACAACTATTTGCAGTATGTGATGTTACTAAACAGTTTTCATGCAAACCCTGCTTTCCCACATCCTGGAAAAGATTGACTCTTTTAGAGTCCATTTAAAATGGGCCACATTTATGCATTAACTAGGGAAAGACAAACATGACCAAACAGAATCTCTATTTTAACATTTGAAATCCCTGAAATAGATTTATGGTAAAAACAAGACCAAGAGATAATCAAAAGGCTTGGCTATTGTTCATTAGTGACACAAAACATAAGAAGTTATTGATTTTCCTTAGCTGAGCTTTGAAAACACAAATAACCCACAGCGCATTTGATTTTCTTACCTGGATGCTATAATGATTGATGAGTTCAGTTCACTGACACAAGCATGACACTGTAATAGGAGTCTTTGAATGTGGCTTAGGGCCTTATTACCAAATGTCTGGGGGGCAGGGAGGGAATAAGAAAAGAAAGTTATTAGTAAAAAGAAAACTCATTATTGAGAATCTAGTTCATTTTTAGTGCTGATCTCAGGATATAGAGATTTGGAATGAAATGGACCCGATACTAAATAAACTGATGATCCCTATTGTTCATGTAGAGAAGTATTAGTGAACTGTAAGCCAATTAAAACCTAAAAGAAAAATAGTATCCACATCATACATGTTTACAAACATTTCTCTAGATTCTGTTCCCCACAATTATCTAGTGCTGAATTGATAAATGCATACTAGGCCAAACTCTACTCCCACGTGGGTCCTCATAATTTTCTTCTCTATTTTTTTCTAGATTTTATAGGAAATTGGGATCTCTATAAAAATGCAGCAGTTTGGGAATCAGATTTAGGGGTATCTAAGCTAGAATTTTTTCAAAGGCAGAAATAAAAGGTTAAAAAATAAAAATAGTGAAACAAGACTGTATGTTAGTTATTGTAGACAAAATCAATTCCTCATACAAGTCTTAGCAGCCAGCCTCCTCACATGAATTTGATATAGATGCAGTCTTAGCTCTTTGGGCAGGGAATTGGATAATTTAACTCAGGCCCTTGGAAACCATTCAGGTCACCAAAATGGTGACATAACCATGGCTGGAAAATTCCCATCTCAGCTCTGGTGACTACCTTGGCTACAAGCAGATTTGGCAGGGAGATCCCATGCCTGTTTTTGTGGGTCCGCAATAAGTTGCCATAGAAGCTTCTTCAAGGATGGTAGAGGAGACAACCTCTTTCTTCTAGACCCTTTTTTAAAGGGTTCACTTCATTAAGCCAGACCCACCTGGGTCAGTCTCCCTTTTGATCTCAGGGTCCTGGGATTGGGCTCTGTGCTCAGCTTGGAGTCTGCTTGTCCCTCTCCCTCTGTTCTTCCCCCTTCTTGTGCTCTCTCTCTCTTAGATGAATAAATAAAATCTTAAAAAAAAAAAAAAGAAAGAAAAAGAAGAAGAAAAAGGTGAAAACAACTCTCAGAGGACAGCAGAATGAAATGGGGACCTCAGACCTACTACTGCAAAGAACAGAATTCTGGCAATAACCTATATGAGCAAGGAAATGGATTTGCTTCTAGAGTCTCTAAAAAGGAATGTAGCCCTGCCTACATCTAGATTTTAGCCCTGTGAGCTCTGTAACAGGTGTCTTACACATAAACATAAAATACATCCACACATAAAATCATAAAGTCTATTTTCTGCCATAGTGTGCTATGCCAAATGAGTGCTAAATATATCAACGTGGTCATATCTTTTAAAAAGTATGTTGACAGACAACCAGAAACTGCAAGTAGATATGTATAAGGTAGTACTATTTATGAAATGACACAAATGTGGAAATATTCATATGTTGTAAAATTTTCTTAAAATATGCATGAGGCGATTCATGTTTATATCAGGACAGTTATTTATTCTAGGAAGAAAAAGGTGGTGATGAGAGGAAGATGGAAGAATGAAGCTTTAGTTCATTTTATACTGTTTTATTTCTTTAAAAAGAAGTCTGAAACAAATATAGCACCTAGAATGTGTGGGATATGGAGTCCTTGTTATATTCTACACATTTGAGATATTTCATGACTTGAAAAGGGGCAAGTTTTCTGGGAAGAACTAACATATTTAAGGAATGACCAACTGGAAGAAGTGGCAGAAGGTGAGAGAAGTGGTCCTTATTAGGTCCACGGAGGCATTTCTTGGGTGGAAGAGTATTCAGGTCTAAAGCCTTGATTATGGTATCTCTGTTGGGGAAATAACCAGATACCCCTTATTCTGTCTTCTTTTGTTTACCATTTATGTTTCAGTGCAGATCTCACTAGTGGAAGAAAACATGTTTTTCACAAAATCATGGAGGCCCAACAACAGTTCTAGATCTCCTCCTTAGTGAATAACATGGTACTGCATTCTGATTTTATTTATCAGTCTTAGAATCTGTGGGTACCACTTTGATGGAGGGATCCACTCTCAGCTTAATGCCAAGGCCCATGTCTGATTTTATAAATCTGAAGGCAGAACCTGAATTGAGGTAAGGGAATGCCAGAACATCTGCCATGTATCTTGGGAAACAGCCAACTGGCCTTCTCCTGGCTATCCTGTCAGTTCAACTTGTGTCTGTTTCTTCCTAATTTCCACATCATGTTTGGAACAGATTTTCTAGCTCCTAAGGCCTGACTATTTTTGGTAGACATGCACATTTTGGATAGTTGTTTTGGTTTTGGTTTTCTCCTTTATTCCTAATAAGATCTCCTTAAGGGCAAAAATGCTTTTTTCCCCCCACTTTTTTTTCTCTCTGAGAGGAAAATACATGCTTGTTGAAAGATAATTTTGTGAAGGTTTTGACTTAATTGGAGGTATTACTGGTGCTTCTTCGGATAGAACTAATTTTCATGGCTTAAAAGTACATTAGTAATATGTAAAACAAACACTATGGCCAGAAGATTTTTAAAAAGTACATATCTTACAAAAATAGCAAGCTCATAAGAAAAGCTATATTCAGCCCATGATGGTATTAATGTTGACTTTAGACCTGTAAGTACCAATTCAAAATGCTCTACACTTCATTGAATTTTCGGTATTGATAAGTCCTTATGAATTTCACCTGAGAGCCACTCATTTAATGCCTCAGAAAATGAAAGTTGGCATATTTCAGTAATTTTCTCAAATGGCTCCACACTGCTACAGTAGAATTGGAACCTAAATCCAACTTGATATTCAAGTGCCTTTTCCTTAGTCTGTTACTATGGTGTTTTATTTATTTGTTTGTCTTAATACCTATCTAAGATTTTGAAGATTTGCATTCAGGATGGGGTGTGGCTCCTCAAGGACAAGGGTACGCCTTGTTGGTCTTTGTTTAGCTAATGCTTAGCATGTGGCAGGGCCAGAGCCAGCATTTGTCAAATGAAAGGTTTCATGAGTGTCTTTCCTGGGTAACCTTGAGAAATCACTTAATCTTCCCAAGTCTCACTTCCTGATCCATAAAGTGGGCATAAAACTCACCTTATTTATGCTATAGGATGTTTTTGAAGTATATATTTGTTTGCTTATTAAGAACATTTTTATAGTTTTCCAAAATGGTAACTTTACTATAATATGCATAATTACCATTTTGAAAAAGATATATCTATATATTTGAAAAAAATACATGCACTTTGATATATTGATATGTTAATATTTTAAAGCTTTATATGTATCAATTATTATATATTTATATACCTGTATTAGCTAAATACAAACATAAAAAAGTGTATTGTTAAATCTTTTACCGTAAATTGTTACATGAACGAACAAAAGGATAAAGGATTACAATTAGAGCTTGGGTCTTTTTTTCTTTTCTATAAAATGACTGAGTTATTTTATGCCTGGAATAGTAGAAATTCCTTTTAATCACAAACAACTGTTAGTGCTTTTTGATATTCTCTCAAATCATGTTTTCAAAGATCCCTTGCTTTTTAAAAAAATATTTCTAAAAAACCAATTATTTCTAATAAACGTTGTTTATTGTTGTGCATTATGATAATGTTGCCTATAAATATTTCTTATCTTTAGGCATTTATGACTTATATCTTGTCTTCTTAAAAAATATTCTTGTTTTTGCCTATCTGAAATTCACATCCTAGTGTCAAAATTAAAAACAAAAAACAACAAAACCAAAAAACCTGTTAAGATGTCTTTTATGAATAAACAATATTTGGATTTACTTAAATGGTCATTAGGTAACATAGGTTGGTTTTGATGATTAAATGAGATATGCTGAAAAGCTATTGAAAATGTAAAAGCTGGACAGATTTACTTTTTTATGGTCAGAGCACTTAATAGTGGCTACATTTGAGACTCGGTGACGCAACTTGGAACCTACTAAACAGTCTATCTTAGTCTCTGAGAACTATATTGTAGGTTGATATTCATGTAATAGAGTAGTTCATATTTACTTAACTACTTCATGGGTATTTTTTGTTTATTTATTTACTTAGCATAAGCCTAGTTTTTAGTCTTACCTTTAAAAACAAAGTAGCCATTCCTAGATATAACTAAGATGAGCATCAAGATCTTTGCATCCATGAAGGTATCCTGAACTTTGCTTTCCTAGTTCACATTCCTGCAGTGCATAAATATTATGGTTCCAATAGAAAGAAGGAGCACAGTTAAGTGAAAAACAGCCTTATGCTGCTTATGTCACAGGCACAGCTTCTCACAAGAATCAGTATTCAGGAAGGGCTCTGAAAAGCAGAAAAGCCCATTGTTTAAAAAACAAAAATCTTACACTTACCATTTGATAAAGAAACAGTTTTACATAGTAGTTTTAAGACTTTATCCACTTTTGTTTTTCCTACCCTTCTACAACCCACGACTAAAGTGGCTTAGGACACCTGGATGGTTCAGTTTAGTGTCTGACTCTTGATATTGCCCCAGGTCTTGATCTCAGGGTTGTGAGTTCAAGCCCTACACTGGGCTCCATGCTGGCTGTGGAGTCTACTATAAATTAAAAAAAAAAAAAAAAGTGGCTGATGAATTTGGAAAAATGATCCTAAAGTAGAATTTTGTCTCAACACCTCACTGCATCTCACCAGGTTTCTCTTCTGCCTACACGGGGAAAATTAAACGCACCTGTTACACCATTTCAGGGATGACATTCACATAGAATGCTTCTCTTACTTTCTTGTCCTCATACCTTTGCTTGTGCTGTTTTCTACACATGGAATGCTGTACTGTATATGCCCTGCATCAAAATTCAGTCTTTCAAAGTCTATCTTGATAGTCATCTTCTCTAAGAAACTTCTGATCCCCAGTACAAATGTGAATTATCTCACATTTGAAATATTGTAGCACTTGTTTATACTTTTCTGATGGAATATCATTTTTGCTTATGCTATTCTTTATATATGTGTTACACTCTCAATAGAACATATACTAATTTTGGAAGACTTTATTTCAATGTCTCCATCATTTTTAACATACAGAAGATTCTAAGTGAATAGAATGGAACAGAATTAAACTTAGGACTTAGACTCTTAGTCCAGGTTCATAAATTATTAGGGGGTAATGAACCTGAAGTTTCCAGTTATTTTACATAAAATTTGTAAGTAAAAATCAAGATGAAATAAATGAATGTAACTTTCAGGGACATGAAGGCCCTAAGTTTAAACATTTAGTATTATCAGAAATACAAATGACTACTTTCCACAAATAGACTGGCCCTCAGCTAAATTTGAAATATTAGGTTGATAGGGCTTTAAAAATAGCCTATGAAGTCTCCTTGATTCGAGTAAGATTCCAAGAGCCTCTGAAAGGCAAAGTACTATACTCACATATGCAGGCAGTCACGATCCATTTCCCAGCCTCATTTTGGGTATCATAGTTTGTCCAAACAGGTGTGATAACGAGGTGTGGTTGCCTTTATGATCTGTCCTATTGGATCAATGAGTAAAGATGATTAAAATCAGGGGAAGACAGTAGTAAATCTATGAAATGCTTCCAAGATGTATGCACAGTTTGTCCCTGACTACCTGATGGACATTCCCAGCTGTGCATAACATAAAGTCCCAACAGTGAAAAAAGTCCAATGGTAGTCCAAACAATCAGGAAAAGCCTAAAGAAAGCACTATTCTAAGACACTTCTTGGGTGATACGAGTGTGCCTGAGCCTCATATGCCCCACGGTGAGACAGACGTTGTTTAGTACAGGGATGGTGTGCTTCATTTGGACTTTTTCTTCTTGGTCCTTGTCTTGCTTGTCTTCTGCTGGTTTTCCCTTACTGAGTGTGACATGTTTACCACAGCACATAGAAAAATGCCCAGCCACTTTGTGTTAGAAGCATATCTGTGAGGTGATGGGAAGAAAAAGAGATGCTATTCATGAGATGGTGTAAGACAATGGCAAAAACTTCTGGCAACTCTCAAACTAACAATAATGTGAAGAATGTTACTGAAATGCTGTCAATTTTCAACATGATCCACCCATTTATTTATTCATTTCCAAAGCAGTTAAAAAAACTCAGGAGAAATAGGTTCCAGGAATACAAATAACAAAGCATAGTCCTTGCCCTCAGGGATCTCAGTCTGCTGCAGAAATTTGAAACAAAAGATCACTTGGGCTGCAATGAGCTCATGGAGAAGCAGCAACTAACTTGTCTCTGGGACTATGAGAGTTTCCTGAGGGTTGGGAATGATGACTCAGAGTTCTTGGGTTGCATGAGAGAGTAAGTGGCATTCCAGGTGGTGTTCACCGCATGTGCAAGGCAATGACAAAAGAAAAACTGAGTAGTTTGGTGTAACTGAAGTGTAGAAGGTGATGTTAGGAGCAGAGCCTGAAAAGCTATGCAGCTGTTAACTTAAAGGGTTTCTTGCATAAGGAGATTGGCTTTTACCCTGTGGAAGTCTGGGGACCTTTGAAGATTAAACAGATGTGGCATAATACATTCTATTTTAAAAAGATGAAAGAAGTCTGGCATTGACGAACTGGGTATTCCTTTATAGTAATTTTTAAAAAAATGTATTAAGTCCCAACAATTCAATTTTGAAATCTCATTTCTACCCACTGCCATCCAGGCATCATATTATATAGAACAGTCTCTTAAACAGCTCTTGCTGTTCTAGCTCCTCTGCTGTCAACTTAAGTAATCTTCAAACATATAAACTATAGGACATGGTATAATTTCTCGGCTTGAATGTATCCACTGGCTTCCCTTACACTATTGTGACATTCAAACTCTTCCCTAAAGTCCTATGTAATTCTGGCCTCTTCTTACTACTGTGGCTTCAGCTCACAGCTCCCTTGTCCTTAGTCACCACCTCCAGTAGCATTGGTCTCACTCATCCTCCTAATCTTCACCTGGCAGGCTCATCCTCTTTACTGGGGGAAATCCTCAGACCTAGCTTTTTTAAAAAAGTATGCTAATCATTTTTTTTTAACCTAAGGTGGGTCCTTCTCCTCTAATCCCTCTGAAACCCATTATTCTTTGTTTTCTTTACAACACTGTTATTTGATATTCACTTACATAAATTTGTCCAATTCTTGTTTGTGTATTTTCTTCCTCTCCCACTGGAATATAAAATCCCTTGAGGACAGGCTTTTTACTTTTTTCATTGCATCTCTACTACCTGACACATGGTCAGTATTCATTAGTGATTTTGAGAATGAATGAATATAAATTTCCTTGTTACATTCCTTGTCAGGGAGAGGGTACATCATCAAGAAGTCAAGAATTCCACCACTGTGGATGGTGCTGTCTGAGGCAATTGTGCTTTTTTTTTTTTTTTTTTTTTTTTTCCCCTACCTTAGCAGAATGGCCCAGGGTGTCAGCTTAGCTGCTACTTTTAAATCTTTTCTTTCTCTGTTAGCCCACTGGGAATTTCTGCAATGTTTTCCAGTGAAAACCTTTTATAATCTCAAAAGTAGGTTGGGGCTTTTGGTAGAGATTATAGGGCTTTTTATGGCTACTGAGAGGAAATTTCTCCTTAAGAAATACTTTGTTCACTACAATTTATCCATCAGTATTGCATTTTCCATTCTAACACACTAAATATTTATTTCTGAAGTTTAAAGAATATTTAAAAAAACGTTTTTGTATACGTGTTACCAAACTGAAGAACAATTATGCCAAAACCTGAATTTGCCTAGAAGGAAACATACAAAAGGTTTTCTCTGAGTCTCTGAAAACAGTCTCTATTTATTAGCCTCTAAAATGCTTTTGTCCAGACCAGACATGCCATATGAATCACTGAGAACTCATCAAACATCAGGTTAGTGGGAAGCAAATCACAGCAGTAACAAGGGATAGAAACAGTAAAGAAATAGTACAGAAAATGGCATCATTTTTATTCTTTTTTAAAAGGAATATTTTATCTACAATAGCCAAGATATAGAAAAAACTTATATGTCCCTCAAGGGATGAATGGATAAAAAAGATGTCACACACACACACACACACACACACACACACACACACAGGAGTATTACTCAGCCATGAAAAAGAAGGAAATCCTGCCATTTGCAACAATATGGATGGACTTTGAGGGCATTATGCTAAGTTAAATAAGCCAGATAGAGAAAGATAAATGCTGCAAAATATTACTTACGTGTGGAAGCTAAAAAGAAAAAATAAATTACACTCACAGAAACAGAGTAGAAAAGTTGTTGCCAGGGGCTGGGGAGTAGGAGAAATAGGAAAACGCTGGCAAGAGGGTACAAACTTCCAGCTATAACATGAGTAAGGTCTGAGGATCTAATGTTAAACATGGTGATTATAACTGGCATGACTATATTGTTTGACTGAAATATGCTAAGAGACTAGAACTTAAATTTTCTCACAAAAAAAAAAAAGAAAAGAAAAAAATAAAGAGAAAAATTAAAATGTGACAGCCTATGCAAAGTAGTTTCTCCCTATGGTACAACAGAACAATCCAGAGCATGATTTTATCTTAATAAATTATATAAGAATGTAAGGTCCCCAGGTTGAAACTTAATTTCTCATTGGTAAAAGCTCAGAAAGTAAATCACATTCCATCCAGTCTCTTTATGTCCTTTCTGAACAAGCACGTATCTATTCATTTAAGTCATAATCTCATTTAACCACATAAATCAATAAAGAACCAATTACTTTTTTCTTCTTTGTATTCTTAATGAAGGGAAGAGACTTCAAACTGGAAATGAAAAGCACTTGCACTATTTTGTTGGTACTTCTCCATTTGCTCAGGGTCTCCAAATATCCTCATAAAGCAATCAAGCATAGAGTCTGGATGTTGAAGCTTTGGACTATCTACCATAACAAACTCCCTAGGTCAGTAGTAGAGTGAGAAATACGACCATTTTTAAGAATGAACAGTTTTGGGGGTGCCTGCGTGGCCCTGTCAGTTAAGCATCTGCCTTCAGCTCTGGTCATGACCTCAGGGTCCTGGAATAGAGCCCTGTATCCAGCTCTCTGCTCAGTGGGGAGTCTGCTTCTCCCTCTCCCCCTCATCACTCCACCCCCTGCCTAGCTCCTGTATACATGCTCTTTCTCTCAAATAAATAAATAAATATTGGAAATAAAATGAATAAACAGCTTCTGGGTTACTATTTTTGAGAATCATAGTTTGAATTTTGTCTAGATTTTTGTTTCTATTTCATAGCAACTTATAATTTTAAAGATTTATCCACTCAAATCTCTCTAAGAGATTATTTATGCTTAAAGTTGTTTTCTGTTTAATCTTTAATTTTCTTAGTTTTTGTCTTCAGATGTTGAATTTGGGGATTCTTTATACAGTTGGTATCCTTAAATCATGAGATTTTGGTGGACACAGTGCCTTGCATCTAGACTTCATAAGCAGATTCTGAGCAATACCATATTATTTATACTTAAGGACAGGGGACATGTTCCTTTTTAATATTTTAATGTACTCACCTCCCAAATCCCCCCCCAAAACTGTGCTTACATTGAAACACACATTTTAGATGAAAAAATAAGCCAATGCTTTAAAAATTGACCTGGAAATAGAAATTATTTGGTGCAATTTATAGATTACATAGTCTTTTGCAATATTGTATAACATTTTAAAAGTATTTCAATTACATTCATCAGTGAGTAGGGGCATGGTTCTATCTAAATAGTGATGATTAGCTGAGCTTTGTCAAGTTGAAGGGAGGAAGCCTGTGGCATTCTTTAGACTTTTCCTTGGCCCAGTACCATTCAACATTTTAATTAGTAACTTGGATGAAATTACAAAAAGAAACTTTGTCAAGTTTGTGGACGACAAGCTGGGAAATTCCAGATTTAGGAATCAAAACTATACTGAGTGGTTGGAACTATAATGAATTTCAAAAAATTAAGAGGGATAAAGGAGTAGTGTTATATATGGACCAAAAACCCAACTCAGCTTCAAGTATAAAAAAGGAGAGATAAGGCAAAACAGCAGAGTTACAAAAGAGAGAGGATTTTTAGCTCACTTTAGTTAAATATCAACTACGTAATGTCATGTGATTGTTAAAAAATAGGCTTTTAATATATTACTTACAAGGGAGGAAGTATCCCAATTGTGCTGATAAGACCTAAATGGATTAGAAGTATTACATGCAGTTATGGGTACCATACTTTGAAAGAAATACAGACCATACCTATAAATAGCAACTGAGGGAAGAAGGGATTATTTCAAAGTAAAAAAAAAGAAAAAAAAAAGCCATCAGGAATAGAAGAGTTGTCTTGTGAGGGAGGGCATAGATGTACTTTACAGACTATCCCAATGTTTGGAACAAGGACCAATAGACACATACAATAGGGAAATAGATTTTTAAAGCAATGTAGGAAAACCTGAATTGTCTAGACATGAAGAACACTGCCTGAATAGGTAATAGACTCCTCTAATATCAAGAGAAGTTTTTGATCATGAGATACTTGTCTATCTAATGTTTTTAAGGAGTTTGAGGCATAACCATGCATAATTACTCCTTGCAACTTAGAGATCAGAGATTCATTAATTCTGTGACATCAAATTTTAAAAGGCGGGGTTGCCTGGGTGGCTCAGTTGGTTGAGTGTCTGTCTGCCTTCGGCTCAGGTTGTGATCCCAGAGTCCTGGGATGGTCTTGCATGCGGCTCCCTGCTCCATGGGCAGTCTGTCCCTCTCCCTAGCTCATGTGCACACATGCTCTTTCTCTCTTGCAAAAATAAAAATAAAACCTTAAAAAACATTTTAAAGTTTAGGGACACCTGGGTGGTTCAGTTGGTTAAGCAACCAAATCTTGATTTTGGCCCACGTCATGATCTCAGGGTCCTGGAATTGAGCCCTGCATTAGACTCTGAGCTTGGCAGAGAGTCTGCTTGGGCACTTTCTCCCTCTGCTTCTCCCCCGATTGTGCTCTCTGTCTCTAAAAATTTACTTATTTATTTTAGGGAGGGTGGGGACAGAGGGAGAGGGAAAGAGAGATTCCTCAAGTAGACTCCCCACCAAGCTTGATGAAGGGCTCAATTCCAAGATCCTGAGGTCATGACCTGAGCAGAAATCAAGAGTCGGATGCTTAACTGACTGAGCCACCCAACTGTCCCTTTAAAAATTTTAAAAGATTAAGAATGAAATTGGTAACAAGAGTAAAGGCAGCACAATTTTCGAGGAAAAGGATAAGAAGGGACAGACAAGTCAAGCAAAGGAATTTCGTTTTTAAAAGAAATCTGGGTGTTTGTAATTGGGGAAAAATAAAAAGGGTCCAGGGAAGGAGTGGAAAAGAGGAGATTGGTAACTGGGCTCGAGAAATGGAATTGAGACTATAGAGAAGAAACATTTCTAAAACCAATGACATGTTTGTGAGGATGGCTTAATGCGAAAGATTACTGATTCTCCTGTTATTCTAATTGATCATAATTTTTCTTCACAAATTAGGAAATTAAGTATTTAGGGTGGGGGAGGGTGAGCGGAGGATTAATGACAGACAAAGAAGATAAAAACCAGCTCCTACTGCTGGATACTGCCATTGTTACTCCCCAGTCTTTCATAGTGATGCCAATTTCTTCAGTATAACTTTCAGCAAATTTAGTCTTGTTTCTTGTCCCACATCAGCTCTGCTCTTCTGCTGTCATAATTCGAGTGTTTGTCCTTTCTTAAGTACTTCTTTAAAAAGCTGAGTGGTAGATTCAATCTACTGATCTGATTATCATGTCTAAATAATCTTTCCAAATTGTAAAACATGTCTATAATTGTTTTGGAAATTCAAGTAAGTACAAAAGAAAGAAAAGTTAAATTTCCTAATTAAACCTCAATTCTGAACTATCCATCCTGAAGACAAATGTAGCAAATGGACATAAGGAAAACAGTGTGAACCCAGAGGGAAATTATTTTATGCATAATTCTATTGCATTTTTAAAAAAAAAAAAGAGTCTCAAACTTTAGCATATATAATGGCCTGGATGGTTTGTTAAAACAGATTTCTGAACCTTACTCCCTTTAATTCAGGTTTGAGATAGAGGCCATGAATCTGCATTTCTCACAAGTTCCAGGTGATGCTAATGCAGCTGCTCTCTGGCCTACACTTATGGGTAAGATTTTATGTATTTCATTCTTTTGGATCCTACTGTAAATTAAACCAATATGTTAATTTCCTTCTCAGATTGTTCGCTGCTGATATACAGAAACATGACTGATTTTTGTGTTTATTTTGAACCCTGTAAATTCCTATGAATTAAACTTTGTTGAATTAAAAAAAAACAAACACTGCAAAGAATGACATTTTCAGATTATCCAGTACTATCTAGTTAAAAAAACCTCAATAACTATAGGTTATTAGGTTTCTTCCTTGAGTGACAATCTTAATGTCATCCTTATACTACTTCTATGATTGCTGTCACACTCATGTACTACCTATATTTCAATTTAGTATTTCTAATTGTCTTTTTATTTGAATATTATAAAATAAAACATATTATAAGTACAAAACTAGTACCACTTGACATATGTAGGTCATTTTCAAATAAAATACTATTTAAAAAACAATAAAATTCTTGCTAAATATTGTTTCTGAAGTTCTGAAGCCTATTCTTTTTCTTAACAAGAGGGATTAAAAGATGACAGCACAACCATGACATTCTCCTTTACTTAATTAGAAGGTTCAAGGAAGAACTGAAAAGAACTTCCTTTTTGACTTAAATGTTACTTAGTGCTGTGTCTATGTACTACCTAAAAACAAACCCAACTTCTCAACTTATTTCCCAAATTAAAACTTTATTCTAACACTTTAAAAATAAGAGATATAATAGATAACTCATATACTTAATTGGTTTCCATTTTTCCCTACTAATTTCCATATTTCTCAAAGACATGGTAATGAGGTTCCAAAGGTTACTGTCAAGTTCCAAGTGAAGATTAAAATACTTATTTTATAATTTTAATAAAATATTTAATTGCTCTAATCTCCTTTTTTCATACTGTGCATCTGGTGCTTCTTGAAAGTTTGTTTAGAATTTATCCTGCATCACACTTATTGCTGACATTACTAATAAACATTTTCAGAAGAGGAATTATGCCTTGTATGTTTTCATTTAGTGACATAAGCTGTTAAGCAAAAAATAACTCATGCTATATTGCTTTGGCTAAACTTGGTGAATAAATTAAAAAAATTTAAAAAACAGCCTTGATATTATGCAGCAATTAAAAAGAATGAGTTAGATTTATACATGATCTGGAAGGCTGCACATGATGCAATACTGAGTGCAAAAATTAGGTTGTAGTATGATGTATTATAATAATATTAATGAAAGACCCTATCCCACATGAGTGTATACATATGAGTAGGAAGAAGGGATAGAAAGATAAACATTGTGCTGTTAAGTTTTGGTTTACTGTGGTTGCTAGTTGAGGTCAGAAATGAAGGTAGAAACATATATTGAAAGATTAATTTTTTCTTCATATACTTTGCATCATTTTACTTTCAAAACATTTTTTTAAAAGAAGAATTCAGTGAATAAGATTTAAAAATGTAATCTGGATAACAAAGTTTAATGAACAACCTTTTGGAGAAGATCTGAACTAGCAGTATAGGTTAGAAATGCTGTACTAGCTCTAATTTAAATATAAAGGCTACATTTCCAAAAGCCCAACTGCATCTTAGACATGTAATAAATAACTCATAAGAAAGTGAATACGAAAATGGCTTCCATGAGAAATGCATGACACCTTAAGACATTGTTATATACCAGAATATAATTATTACAGTTAAAAAATAATTTTAATTAACCAGAGACAAACAATTGAACTCTTGTAGCAAAATGCAGACTTTCCAATATATTAATTAAAAAAAAAATACTACAATGTCATGGAAGAAGAGTAATATTTACCTGAAGAAGAAACTTCATTAAAACTTCTAATACTCATGTGGATTTTATAAAAAACAACATGATAAAGGCAACAGAAATAAAAAATACCCTTTTATAGAATGATTTTTCTTCTTGAAAAAGAGTCACTTATAAGCTTTTATTTTGAAATAAATATAAAGATTGTGATCGAGAAACCACAAGTATTTCCGGGTAAGGTTGAAGACCCATTTGCTTGTTATCTTTCAACTTTTGTACTATAACTTTGGCAAATTCTTCTCCTTGGATGTCAGTGGTGTCCAGTAACTGTCTGACTTTTGAAGTCCTTGTAGGTTTGGTACTAATGAGTTCATAGTCCTCCTTCATGATCAAGTCCCTGGACAGAAGAGCGTCTAGTGACTGGTTAAGGCAGGCTTCTGTCATTTGGCTCACAATGTCTTCCCTTTTACTCTGGATCCACTGTTGGGCTATGCCAGGCTGTAATCGCTCTGCAGAAGAGCAAGGCATGACAAATCAGTTGAGGACAGATATATAGCTATGAGTAAAATTGGATGAACAAAGAAATAATAAGGAATAAAACCCTTAATTTTCTATGATTGTGCAATATGAATGCAAGTATTTTGGGGGATACTGTTAATATTCAGGAAACACTCAGATATTTGGGTTATCTCTTCTTTTCCCTTCAGTTTCCTTCCCAGAAAAATCCTTTTTATATGCTATAAATCCACAGGGGCAAAACCCAATCTATGTTATAGATATATATTTTTTAATATAAAGGATACCTGCATAATTTTTAAATAAACATAACTTCACCTTTAGTAACATATTAAGTCATACCTCCTTTTAACATTCCCTCCCTAGATAGATGTTGATGGAATACCATGTGGACCTTTTATCGCATGTCAGCCCTCAATCTCCTAGGACTGGAAGTGCCTTCCTACTTAAGAAGGTATATATTTATCACGTTGAAGAAATAAAAACAAATAAAACTTATTGCATGGCAAATCTACTGAACATATAGTTGCAAGATAAACAGCATCATTTACAAAGTGTTAAATATTTACCTGAATTTCCCTCAGCTGAGAGTGGAGTTATCACTGCTAAAGAGCCTGGGGTGGTCTTGTGATCACAAAATGTCCTCTTCTGAACTGCAGAAATGTTACTATTGCAACTGTGATTTACTGGATAGTGACACAGTGTAGAAAAGTCTTGAGTTTTTCCTATAAAACACAGTATCTTCATTAGGGGTAGAACAGTCCTTAGCTATTCCTATTAGCTAAAATATCAACATCTGGATCACACAGAGGATAGTATTCAGTGTCTTTAAATTTTCATTGTTATTAAAGCTGGTTCATAAATCTAATTCCACAATATATTTTAGAATAAAAATGCATTTATAATGAACGTTTTTACCATACTTCTGTCTGCGCTTGTCTGTTTTATGTATATTATAAATTGTGAAATTTTACTTCTTCACATAATCCTGTATTTCTTCTGTGTCTTCTTCCTCCTTCTGTACTTTAAATGTGTCTTCTAAATCTATTTATTATGTGTCTTTCTTCACTCTTCCTTGGTAATCCTATTCAATCTCAGGGCCTCAACTGTCACCTCTCTTCCCAAATCTATGTAATTAAATTTCCTGTCTTCATTGAGCTTTAGTCTTACATTTTCAACAGTCCACTAGACAGCAACCTCATATGTGCTGCTAAGCACCTCAAATTTGAAAAAAAAATTAAAAACTTAATTATTCACCTAACTCTAAAACCTATTTCAACTATTTCTGTTAATAGCACCAATGTTCTCCCAATCATCAAGCTTGACAACTTGATTAGCTCCTTTTTTTCCTCTTCTTCCTCCAGGTAGAATGCTATACATTCCTTCAGTGTGTCCTCCATTACATCTCTCTCGCCATTTCTCCCTTCTTGCACTCAGGATCAGGTCTCATAACCTCTCATGTATATTATAGAAACAGACTAACAGTCTACTCATTGGTTTTCCCACCTCCATTCTCCTTTTCCTTCCAAAATAGTCTACATATTCTAGCCAGGATGAATCTTCCTAAAGCAAAAAATTTTTATCATGTCACACCCTTGCTCAAATAATTTGCAACAGCTGCTCCCTAAACAAGTGAGGAGCCCAAATAGTTCAGCCAAGTGTTAGAATCTGTGATGGTATTGACCTTTTATCTCCTTTCATTCATCCTCTTTACCGGCTAAACCCAACTACTCACTGTTCTCTGTGTTTTCTTGCTTCTGTGCCTCTATGTTGTTCCTTTTGCCTGGAATGCCCATCTTTATAACTATAGGTCCAACCTTCAGTCAGAAACAATTTCTTCATGATGACAACATGGTGTAGTGGAGTGACATGAAAATATTTATCAAAAGACCTGGCTTCGAGTCTTGGGTTTGCCAGCTACTAACTATGTGATCCAGGAAGTCTTGATCTTAAAAATCTGTAAAATGAGGAATATCTCCCTCACAAGGTTGTTGTGAAATGCTTTGTAAAAAATGTTACTTTTCCAAGTGTATTACCATAGCTCTACATCCATCTCTTCTACAATATATCACTTCTATCTTATACTATGGTTACTTAGAAACATTTCTCTTCTCTTAGATATTTTTTAAAATATCTTTTCACAGAGTCTAACACAATGCCTTCAATATTTTAATGTATTTGTGGAACATCCCACTACTATTTTCACAAGTTAAGATTCTAACACTTTTAAAAAATGAATTATGGCTGCAGATCAAAGACATGTTCCAAACAAACCATGACTGTTTATCCATAATACAGTCTTAAAAAAAGGGAAAACTTGCAAGTAATACTGACTGAAAAATTTACATACTAGATAAAAAATCATTTTCTTGAGGAGCTGACAGGGACTTTGAGGCTATAGTAGAATCGCGACTTTCATGGAGCTGAGAGGATCCACATGATTCCTAAAGTAAATAGAAGATAAATGATTTAGGTTAATAGAAAATCATTCTTAAAGTTATATAGCCTTAATTTCTAAATAGTTCTTTCTTTTTTCCTCTGTATTTTTTTTTTTTAAAGATTTTATTTATTTATTTGACAGAGATCACAAGTAGGCAGAGAGGCAGGCGGCGTGGGGGAGGGAAGCAGGCTCCCTGCCAAGCAGAGGGCCTGATGTGGGGCTCGATCCCAGGACCCTGAGATCATGACCTAAGGCGAAGACAGAGGCTTTAACCCACTGAGCCACCCAGGCACCCCAATTTCTAAATAGTTCTTGATTTTGGTCTACTATAAAAAAAGAATAAAAATGGTTACAACTTATACCTTACAAAATTAAAGAAACATATATAACATAGCAAGTCTTATATATTCTTAGAAGAAATTATTAATTTAAATGTGAAAGAATGCTACTAAAGAAATCTTTCTTTTTAGATAGCCATAGAAATGGCATTTTCCTTTCATTAATCATTGTTCAGAGGAAGGACAAAGCAGTACTATAACTAGTTCCCATTTGGGTAAGAAGGCATACATATAATGGTAAAAATGTAATCAGTGATTTGCCTAAGAACCATATTGGAACACCACTCGTTATATGAAATATTGACAGGGACTAAAGTTAATGGCAAACAAAGGAGCACGGACTATGTATGATTCAATGAGATGAACAGTGGTGTGAAAATTAGAGGAGTGTTGGATTTTGAAATGGAGATTGCTACTGGCCACCTAATAAATCCTAAAATATCCTGGGGCTTTAGCTTCCACATGTAAAGGAAGGAATTAAGACTAAATTATTTTTCATTTTCTTCTCACATTTTGAGTTTGTCAACATAATTTTTTTTACCTCCTGTGGTCCATGAGTTATAGGTGTGTTCAGAGATGAGTCCATTTTCTTCTTGTCACATAAGTGAATAGTGCTCGAAGTACTCTGTAACTGGAATTAATACATTTAAGTCCTTTAGTTGGAGGTGATTAGGAAATTATGTGAGTAAAATACAACCTGCTTAACATACTTTATATGTTTATATAAAATCAATGAAAAGAAAAGTTAAATCATTTGAGAATATAATATATAACCTAAAGGTAGAAGCAGTATACAACAGGGGTAATAACTTTAGAGAAACTGACTTTGAATCCTGCCTCCTATTAATTGGTTACCTTGAACAAATTTATCTTTAAAGATGGACTAATACTGGGATGCCTGGTGGCTCAGCTGGTTAAGCATCTGCCCTTGGCTCAGGTCACAATCCCAGAGTTCTGGGATCGAGCCCTTCGTCGAGCTCCCTGCCCAGCTGGCAGTCTATTCCTCATTCTTCCTCTGGCACCCCCCGCCCCCAGCTCCTGCTCTCTCTCTTGCTCTCAAATAAATAAAGTCTTAAAAAAATAAAAAAAGATGGACATGCAGGATTGTTTTAGAGATTAAGTGAGATAATGAATATACTGTGTCTGGTACAAACTAAGTACTTAATAAATTTCAATTTGTGTAAGTATATGTGTCTATCCTAATTTTTAAGTATTTACTATATTTTGGGCACTGTGCTGGTAAGTACAGGTATTATTCCTTTTTATAGATAAGAAACTGAGGGCTAAACTAAAGGATACAGAGTCTCCTTATGGAATGATGGGGATCATGTAACCAATCAGGTCTGGTTTAGAATCCCAGGATACCTAACTATTGGATTTTAGGCACAAGACTTACTCTCAGTTTACTGATTTGTAAACTGGAGATAAGAATACCTATTTTGCAGGATCACTGTAAGGAGAATTATAAACCAGAAAGTCCTAAGATTACTTAGTAAGCATTCAATAAATGCTAGCTATTAAAGCAGATGATTTATTTATATACTATAGCTCTATTAAAATCATTTAGTGATATACTCCCATCTCTATAAACCAGTCAGATTAAGCTGCCATCACTAGTGAGTGATTTAAAAAACAAACCTGTCAGTATGCTTTTCGTCTCCAAACCAACATGTCATCCAGTTTACAGAACTTTAGAAATTGGTGGGTGCTACACCAGCCCTCCATTATTCATACTTATGACTGTCTGCTCCATTACATGGGTAAGGAATTTTAGAAGAAAAAAACCACTATTCATTTGTATATATAATCTACCTAGCACAGTACTTTGTACAAAGCTGTCCAATAAGCATTTGTTAAATACATTTTTATGTGAACCTTTAGAATTATTCTTTGGATCTGTCTCTGTTAGATACAGTTTTTCTGTGCTTTTAAATTTATTGAAACATTTCTGATAATGCGATATCCTTAAATAAGTAACATCGTTTTTATAACTGATGTTATGATAAATGAAATTATTTATGAACTAGTAAATCAGCCCCTAGAAAGAAGTGAAATGGAATATTACAGAAAAACTTTTGCTTCAGGTTTTACTTTTTAAGATACAGGAAACGCTATCTGTGAGAACATGAATTATGCGACCTGGTTCAAAGAACTGAAAAAAACGTAGGAACCTCAAACAAAACAAGTCACCCAAACTGGTGATCTGTTTTCAGAAATTCCTTCTTTCTTCCTCCCTCCCTCTCTCCCCCCTCCCTTTCTTTTTTAAAAAGCTTTTATCTATTTATTTGACAGAGAGCAGGAGCAGGGGTGAGGGGCAGTAAGAGTAAAGGGAGGAGAAGCAGGCTCCCTACTAGGCAGAGGGCCTGAGGCCATCTCCATCTCAGGACCCTGGGATCATGATCTGAGCTGAAGAGGACACTTAACCGACTGAACCACCCAGGAGCCCTGGGTTTTTGGAAATTTCTTTCCCCCCACCTTTTTTTTTTTTTTAAGATTTTATTTATTTATATCTTTGAGAGAGAGAGAGAGAGAGAGAGAGAACCCGGAGCAGACTCCGCAATGAGTGCGGAGCCCAATGTGGGGCTTGATCTCATGACCCTGAGATCATGACCTGAGCCAAAAGCAAGAGTTAGGTGCCCCCAGAAACTTCTTGATGAAAAATCTTATTATATCTGTATTCTACTCCTGGCCCTGACATTAGCTAGTTGTGTAGAGTGTTATGTAACTTTCCTATACCTCAGCTGTCTTATTTATAAATAGAGATGATATTCTTCCCTACCAGTTTCACAGAATTGATATGGAATTTTTTTAATAGAAAAAAGATTAAAATTCTGAGTAAAGGGGCGCCTGGGTGGCTCAGTGGGTTAAGCCTCTGCCTTCGGCTCAGGTTGTGATCTCAGGGTCCTGGGATCGAGCCCCGCATCGGGCTCTCTGCTCGGCAGTGAGCCTGCTTCCTCCTCTCTCTCTCTGCCTGCCTCTCTGCATACTTGTGGTCTCTGTCTGTCAAATAAATAAATAAAATCTTTAAAAAAAAAATAAAATAAAATTCTGAGTAAAAACAATACAGCTACTTAAGAACAACAAAGAAAGTAATTTTTTTTAGTAATTTAGCAATGCTATTATTAAATGGTATTCAGGTATTTGAAAATATGTACTTTAAGCTATTTTATTTAAAAAGCACTGGGTGTTATACGCAATCAATAAATCATGGAACACTACATCGATAACTAATGATGTACTGTATGGTGACTAACATAACATAATAAAATAAAATTAAAAAAATAAAATTCTACTACAAAAAAAAAAGAAAAATTAAGAAGCCTAAATTTCTCCTAAAAAAACAAGTTTTATTTATTTATTTATTAAAAGATTTTGTTTATTTATTTGACAGAGAGAGAGATCATAAGTAGGCAGAGAGGCAGGCAGAGAGAGAGGGGGAAGCAGGCTCCCTGCTGAGCAGAGAGCCCGATGCGGGCCTCCATCTGAGGACCCTGAGATCATGACCTGAGCTGAAGGCAGAGGCTTAACCCACTGAGCCACCCAGGTGCCCCCAAATTAACAATTTTAAATATAGATCCTAGTTTTTTGCAATGATGTGGATAGAACAAGAAGGTATTATGTTAAGCAAAATAAGTCAATTAGAGAAAGACAATTATCATATGATTTTACTGATAGAGGGAATTTGAGAAACAAGGCAGAAGACCATAGCGGAAGAGAACTAAAAATAAAACAAGATGAAACCAGGGAGGGAGATAAACCATAAGAGACTCTTAGTTAGAGGAAACCAACTGAGGGTTGCTGGAAGGGAGAGGGGTGAGGGGATGGGGTAACTGAATGATGGACATCAAGGAAGATGTGATGTAATGAGCACTGGGTATTATATAAGACTGATGAATCACAGACCTGCCCCTCTGAAACCAATAATAAATTTTATGTTAATTAAATGAATTAAAATTTTAAAAACTGGGGCAGCTGGGTGACTCAGTCCTTAAGCATCTGCCTTCGGCTCAGGTCATGATCCCAGGATCCTGGGATCCAGACCCACGTCAGGCTCCCCGCTCAGTGGGAAGCCTGCTTCTCTCTCTGCCACTCTGCCTGCTTCTCTCTCTGCCACTCCGCCTGCTTGTGTTCCCTCTCTCGCTCTCTCTGTCAAATAAATAAATAAAATCTTTAAAAAAAATTTTTAAAACAATAAAAAAAATATAGATCCTAGTGTTAAAAGTTGTTTGGGGACAAAAAAAAAAAAGGAACTGGAATGGTTCTCTTCCATTTTATAACCAAGAAAACAAATTCTTCTATCCACCTTTGTCTGGGCAGAAGAAGAGATAGTTGTTAAGGAGAGAAGAGAGAACGGAAAGATAAAGCAAAACAAAAGCAAAAACAAAAACAACCATACCTATATGAATACATATAGATATATATGTGTGTATATATATATTACAGAAGTTTGTAGCTACTAAGAATTGGAGAGATTGATGTTCTAGAAAAGACTACCTACTCAGAAGCAGGGAGGTCAGTGAAAAGTTATCAAAAGAATTAAAACACAGTTCTCTAGTTCTTAAAAAATAGGCACTAATACTGACACCATCAATTTTTAGTTTGGCTAAAGGTGGTTGTTTCTTCATGCATTTCCCTTTTAAACTACAGGTCATGTCAAAAGATCTATTACACTGCAAGATGCAATCAATGTCATTTAATGATACATAAATTGTAGACTATGCTTGTTCACAACTTAAGACTTTGGTTAATCAGTGGTTATTTTTATTATTATATCTCAGATATAATTTAATGAAACTCAGCAAATGTTCAACTATGCTTACTTTGTCCCTCAAGGACAGTAGTTGCTTTTTAAACAAATTTGTGATAATATTAAGAAAAACCTTGCAGTAATAGGTCCCTTCAATTGTTCTAATCTACAAAAGCCAGAACGAGTAAATAAGACAATTTTTCTAAGTAAGTCACATAAACTGTTACTTTGATTTAATTGTAACATAGAGAGTTTTTGAGCAGGAAAATAAAACAAAATAAAATAAAGCATTAAAATTATACATCTTGGCCTCAATTATTAATACAATTTGACAGCTTAACTTGGCAATAAATCTTAAAAAACCCCAAGAACATTGAATAAGAAGAAGTGTAAGAACCTAGACTTCTATTACTCTGTATATATGAAAACTTTAGGTTAAGAAATATAGGTTAAAAAACCCTAGTGATTTAGGGCATTCATCATACATAACGGGCATTCATTACACATTTTAAACTTATGTTTAACATATGGCAGTTTGGGAAATGCCTCTGAAATCTACAAGTGGCCATCGGAATGAAATGGAAAAGCTCTTTGGTGACAGAGAAAACAGTATTCATAGTCTCTGTTAAACTCTATCACCCTGTATGTGTGGAAAATATTTAGATAAAAACTAAATTAAACTACGCCAAAAATCTCCATGAATAAAAACGATTGTTTTAAGTTCAATTTCTACTATTTCAGTTAGCAATTTACCTTTGTTTTCTTTAGTTGAATAACAGCTTCAAGAAAAGTTATCTCTTCAAATGTCCTCAGAACTGGTTCAAGTTCTATTAAACATTCTAAATAAGAAAAAAAAAGTTCTTTGAGTTTGGATCACTCTAATCATTAAATTGCAAAATATAAGTGCTAATAGTTCCCTGATAAGGCCCTTGGTCAATTTTTCCCCAAACTGATGACATTCAACCCTCTTAGGAGCCTTTATTATATGAATAAAAATAGAAACATACCTCATGGAATACACTTGAGAGTCTAAAAATATACCCTTATAGTTATGGTCAATTACTTTTTGACAAAGTTGCTGAGGCAATTCAATAGGAAAAGGATCATCTTTTCAACAAATTGTGCTAGGACAGCTAGATAGCCAATAAAAAAAGATAAACTTAGATTCTTACCTAACACCATACATTGAATTAACTTGAAATGGATCATCACTGAAATGTAAATACAGGAGAAAATATTCATGGCCTTGGGTTAGGCAAAGAATTTTTAGACATGATATTAAAAACAGGATCCACAAAGAATTTTGAAAATGCACTTCAAAAAAATTGAGAACTCTTACACTTCAAAAAGCTGCTATCAAGAAAAATGAAAAGACAAGCCCCAGACTGTGAGGACACTTTTCATATCATGTATCTGCTAAAGGACTTATATCTAGAATATATAAAGAATAATTAGACCACCAAATTTAAGAATGGGAATGTAACATGATGTAGCCATTTTGGAAAACATTTGAGAGTTTCTCAAAAATGAAAGATAAGGGCGCCTAGGTGGCTTAGTGGGTTAAACCTCTGCCTTTAGCTCAGGTCATGATCTCAGGGTCTTGGGATCGAGCCCGGCATAGGCCTCTCTGCTCAGCAGGGAGCCTGCTTCCCCCCTCTCTCTGCCTGCCTCTCTGCCTACTTGTGATCTCTCTCTCTCTCTGTCAAATAAATAAATAAAATCTTAAAAAAAAATTGGTATAATTAAAAAAAAAAAAGATAAATTTAGCATACAACCCAGCAATTCAACTCATTGGTAGCAATCTGAGAGAAATGAAAACATGTTCACACAAAGACTTGTATATGAATAGCCAGAGCAGCATTATTCATAATAGTCAACAAATAGAAATAATCATAACTACTACTACAACTACTATAATAATCTATGAACTTACTGCTGAAAGGAGAGGTCAGGGTTCCGTATATAAAAATGAGCATGACTAACATATGGATGGTATACAAAGCCATGGTCTGGACTGGATTGTCTAGGGGTTGAATAAAGATAGGATACAGAGAGTTAAAGGCCCATGTTAGAGCTCTAAGGCACTCCAACAGTTCAAAATTGAGTAGAGGAAGAGAAAGAGATTGAGGAAGAGAGAATACTAAATCGTGTAGCCTCTTGTATCTTGAAGCCACCAGAAAGAAAATTTCAAGGAAGGAATCATTAGTCATGTCTAATCTTTTGAGAAGCCAAGTAAGATAAGCAGGCCCATTCTTTATGGTCCCAAAGTAAAGATGAAATTCCATTTTAGGGGGTGCCTGGATGGCTCAGTGGGTTAAAGCCTCTGCCTTCGGCTCAGGTCATGATCCCAGGGTCCTGGGATAGAGCCCCGCATCGGACTCTCTGCTCAGTGGGGAGCCTGCTTCCCCTCCTCTCTCTCTGCCTGCCTCTCTGCCTACTTGTGATCTCGGTCTGTCAAATAAATAAATAAAATCTTTAAAAAAAAAATAAATTCCATTTCAGTCCCCAAGAAGGAAAGTATAGGAATATTGCCATTCTTGGTAATCCCAACAATGTAGCTTTAGTGGAGATATGAAAACAGAAGACTGATAAAAGTTTGTTAAAACCTGAATTAGAGGGAAAGCAGCAGAGACAAGAAGTATGGACAATTCCTATAGGGTGTTTAGATTTGAATGGGAGCTCAAAAATGAGGTGGAACCTGAAGTCAACATAAGAAGTCATGTCTCCCTGCCCCGTATAAAGATAGGGGATAATAATGGAATACATCTGTATGATAGCTGAATAATCCAGTAGACAGGCTGAGACTGGTACTATAAGAGTAGAGAAATACAAAGGAACAGAAGCTAGAGAGGGTTTGGGAATGGGATTCAGAGCACAAGTAGTATGTTTACATTTATGTAAATATATGGACACTTTTTCCCCTGTAAATGAGATAAGGCAAAAAAGATGGTTACAAGTACAACTAAGATTATAGATCTGGTGGTGGATCTATGAGATAGCAGTACTCTCTCATGGTTTCTATTTTCTTAATGTAGTGTGAAAACAGGTGATCAGCTCAAAGGAAAGATGAAGCGTGGGGTGCAGCAGGCTTAAGAAGGGAAGGTAAGTTATTACCCCTGTCTTCTTTTCCTAAGCTTAGAATCTATCAAAAGCCACAAATAATGATAAATAATGATCAAAGTACCAACATTTATTACTGATAATGATAATGTTAATTTACCATTAGATCTGTAGCCAATTGGCTTGGAAAGAGTTCACAGCTTTACTCAGCCACAGGCCTCATCTACTTCCACATGGGGAAGCAGAAAATATGCATCCTTTAGACAGGCTGATTTCTAAAAGAAGGAAAAAACTGAGAAGGGGGACCAGATAAGCATGCTCAGTTTTTCTCTAAAATTAACAAATGAGGTAGGTCTGAGGAAGAGTGCTGAAGGGCACATAGAAGCTGGAAATGTTCTTCCTATACTTTCCTTCTTGAGGACTGAAATGGAATTTCATCTTTACTTTGGGACCCTAAAGAATGGGCCTTAGGTATCTCCTACAATAGTACAAGATGATCACTGACACAAGGAAGCCAATTCTCAAACTTTTAGGTCTCGGGATTTTCTGAAATTATTGACTATCCCAAATAGCTTTGGTATATGTGTGTCATATCTACTGACACTATATTACAAATTAAAACTGAGAAAAATTTAAAACATCAGAATACATGAGAACACATTCCATTATTTGTTGAAGCAATGAAACCATTATACCTCATTTAGTCTTTGGAAAAATCTACTACAGACTCATGAGAGAATGAGAATTTAAAAAAATAATCTTACTATTTATTACTTTGAAGAGTTTTTGATTTTGTGAATTCTTCTGAAGTCACAGGGATCAACCACCCCAGGGATCCTTATACCATACCTTCAGCTGATATATAAAAATGGAATAGTACATGCATTTGAGAAGCATAACAGAATTGCTAAGTAGTGTTTAGTGTCCAGTTCTGGCCATTATTTATTTATTTTAAAGTTTTTATTTATTTGATAGAGAGAACATGCAGGAGCATGGGGAGGGCCAGAGGGAGAAGCAGACTCCCCACTGAACGGGGAGTCTGTGTGCACCAGGCTTGATCCCAGGACTCTGGATCATGACCTGAGCCAAAGGCAGATACTTAATGCTTAACCCACTGAGCCACCTAGGCACCATGGCCATTAGTTTAAAGAGAAACCAATAAATAACTCCCACTTCTGGCCAAGATGTAGCAACAGGGTTTGATTTGCCACTCTGCCTAAAACAACCAAAAAAGCCAGACAAAATACATGAAACAGTGGTCTTCAAAATACAAGATACCAGGCAACAAAGGACAATGATCACTGAGAGATGGGAAACAAATCAGGTGAGCCCTATGCCTGCCCACAGTTATTGTGTTGACAGTTTTTAGCTGCAGCTTAAGAGGGAAGTGAGGTGGAGCCTCACTTCTCAAGTGAGTGGAAACTTAACTGAAGAGATGAGGCTGGGAGGCTGGGTAGACCAAGGCAGACAGAGTTCATAGGGCAGTATCAGAGAGGGAAGTCATACACAGAGAGAGAGCTCTGTGATCTGCAGAAGGCTTCTTTTAAGTATTTAGCGGTCAAAGCAGTGTAAAGTCAGAAAGCCAAAAGTCAAAGTCTTAATCAAAACCACAGTGAGATGCCACCTCACACCAGTCAGAATGGCTAAAATTAACCAGTCAGGAAATGACAGGTGTTGGCGAGGATGTAGAGAAAGGGGAACCCTCCTACATTGTTGGTGAGAATGCAAGCTGGTGCAGCCACTCTGGAAAACACTATGGAGGCTCCTCAAAAAGTTGAAAATGGAGCTACCCTATAACCCGGCAATTGTACTACTGGGTATTCACCCTAAAGATACAAATGTAATTATCAGAAGGGGCTTGTGCACCTGAATGTTTATAGCAGCAATGTCCACAATAGCCAAACTATGGAAAGAACCTAGATGTCCATCAACAGATGAATGGATAAAGAAGATGTGGTATATATACACAATGGAATACTATGCAGCCATCAAAACCCCCAAAATCTTGCCATTTGCAATGATGTGGATAGAACTAGAGGGTATTATGCTAAGTGAAATAAGTCAATTAGAGAAAGACAATTATCATATGATCTCACGGATATGAGCAATTTGAGAAACAAGACAGGGAAAAATGGAAGGTAAAGAAGGGAAAGGAAGGGAAAAATGAAACAAGACGAAAGAGGGAGACAAACCATAAGAGATTCTTAATCTCAGGAAACAAACTGAGGGTTGCTGGAGGGGAGGGTTGTGGGAGGGATGGGATGGCTGGGGGATGGGATTGGGGAGGGTATGTGCTATGGTGAGTGCTGTGGATTGTGTAGGACTGATGAATCACAGACCTGTACCCCTGAAACAAATAATAGATTAAATGTCAATTAAAAAAAGAAAAGAAAAGAAAAAAAAGAACAATAGGGAAAAACCTGGAAGTCTGTAGAAAAGTAAGTATGGCCCAATGGTATGATCTTCAGGGAAGCTAGAATTTTTAGAGAATGGAAAAGAAATGAATATTTGGAAGTGGCACTAGGTACAAAGGAGATAGATACCCTCCCACATAGCTCTGAGAAATAAGAAATAAAATGTGAATCCATTATAAGCAACTTTTGATTTTTTAATACAGAACTAATGAGGATTGGACACAAATTTTGAATAAAATGTACATTTCATTGTTTTTTTAGTTAGAAAGATAATTCCCCAGTTTGTGGCTTATCTTTTCACTTTTTCTTAATAGAATCTTTTGAAGTGCAAAAATTTTCAGTTTTTTCAAAGCTCAATTACCATTTTTTTTCATGGATCTTGTTTTTGATGTCACATGTAAGAGTTCTTTGATTAACGCAAAGTCTCAAAAACTTTCTCCTGTGTTTACATTTAGATGATGATCTGTTCTGCCTCTGAAATAGATCTTAATTCTATCTAATTTTTCTATCTCAGATTACCACCTTAATTAGTAAACATTTGCTAGAGTCTCCTAGGTGGTCTCTTTGCTTCCACTCCTATCCTTCTCCAGTCAATTTTCCACACAGCAACAAAAGTGATTTCTCCAAAACAAATTAGATGTCATTTCCATAGAAACACACTTTAGTGATGTTCCACTATACTTGGAATAAATTTCTAACCTTTTTATGATAGCCAACAGCCCCTCCTTATCTCTCCAATCTCATCTCATAAAATAAAAACAGGAACTTAATTAAAAAAAAACAAACAAATTTTAAGCTTGCCATTTAACTTGTGTAATTTTTCAAGGACTATTTTATTCACAGTATATTCACTTTTTTGTGTAATTCTAAAGGTCCAGACTAAAACTGTACACTCACTTAAGAAAGATGGTCTTTCATCTGGATTTTGCGCCCATCCACTTTCTATTAGAGAGATCATAAGTGTTCGATGAGGTATATCAAGTGGCAAACTTTCTTCATTAGTGTTAGGTCGATGTCCTTGTGATACACTATACATGATCTGCAAAGGATTGGTGACTTCTGTCAAAACAAATATATTCCATTCATTAGAAATATATTACGATTTAATACATTACTTAAATATATTCTAGAGTCAACCAAATGAAAATGAGGGAAACTTAAAATCTTAGGAATAATGCATTACCCCCCTTTTTGTTAAAGACATATATATACACATATATAACCCAGCAGACTTGTATGCCTCCTGTGGTGGAGTTTATAGCCTCACCTCACCTCATTAATTTTAAGCTTGGTCATGTATCTGATTTGGCCAGTGAAACATGAATAGAGCACAGCTCAGCAGAACTGAGTGGAACCCAGCACAGCCAAGAATGGCCGTTCACATCTAACGTGAATGAGAAACATATGTTTATTTTGTAAGCTACTGAGCTTCTGAGGTTATTACACAGCAAACTGACCTATATAATCCTCAAAATAAAGAAATGGACAGTGTTATCAGAGAACTTAAAAATTATTCTTGTTTGTTATAGATGAAACATTAAATTTTCAAATAAAGAGTTTTATAGCTGGAACAAATCTAAGAAATAAAAATTTAAAATTTTCATTTTGCAAATAAAAAAGAAATGACTCAAGAGATTTAGTAGCTTGATCACAGTGCTAATTACTGTCAGAACAAGAATTAGAATCTACATTTTTCTAACCCTTACTCTAGTAAAGTTTCCAATATACAGTGGATTCAGAATTGATAAATTGTTATGTTTTTATAGTGTGTTTTCCACAAAATGCATGGTAGGCATTTTTAAAACAAGATGGGCTTTATTTAGGTAGTTCTGGAAATGGCCTACCAACATGGTATCATCTAGAGTAAGGAAGTGAAAGTAAATTTACCTTCAAAAGGCTGTTTTCTGGATAAGACTTCCCACATGATCACTGCATAGCTGTTGAAGATAAAAATATACATACAGGATAGTATAAACTAACTATACATAATAAACTAAAAGAGCACTGATTTTAAAAGGTGACTGCGGAGATATCATTTTTTGCAAGTAATAAGGCAGCAAAATGCTGTATAAAGAATCACCATACACAATCAAAGTGATTAATGTATATATACAATTTTGTTCTGAAAGGGAATTAATTCAATTTGAAAAATTAGCAAATTACTGTAATAAAAATTTGAAGTTATAGGCAAGGATAACTTCTTTTGGATGATTCTTAATGACCTCTAATTATATGATTCTATGATTCATACAAAACAAAGAGCAAATAGGTCTCATGTAGCCCTATTCTGTTAACTTTTTTTTTGGTCTAAGTATTGTCTCCTTTGGTATTGTTAAATGTTAACCACACTATTTTCCTTCCTCCTCCATCAATGTCACATAAGATAAAAACCTTTTAGTCCTATATTATAAATTGACAGGACAATAAGATATGCTTCAAATTTTTTCAAGGATGTAGAAGTGGCTTAAAGCAAGTCATCTTTAATTTGAAAAATATTAACCACTGTGGTCTCTACTTTATTTTACCACACTTATGAGAGAAGACTAAAAATTATACATTAAAATGTAGCTTTGGGGCACCTGGGTGGCTCAGTCAGTTAAGCATTTGCTTGCAGCTCAGGTCATGATCCCAGGGTCCTGGGATGGAGCCCCACATCCAACTCCCTATTCAGTGGGGACTCTGTTTATCCTTCTCCCTCTGCCTCTCCTCCCACTTGTGCTCTATCTCAAATAAATAAAACTTAAAAGAAAATAAAATGAAGCTTCAAAATTCCAATCAATCTTGTTTTTAGACAAGGTTAACTCTGAGCAAAAGTAACATATCATACCTATAGATATCATGCTTGACGCTGGCTCTTGATTTCTGTCCAGGTTCATAGTTCTCAGGTGGCATATAGATAATTGTCCCTCCTTCTGGTGAAGATTTACTAGTTCGTGATTGTGAGAGGGACATCATACGCCATTTTGATAAACCAAAATCTGCAATCTGTAAGGGAAAAGAGTAAATAATTGAATTTTAAAATTTTTTCTTTAAAAAAAAAAAAAACCAAGAACTGTCTTTGTTTATATTCATTGTATTTAGGTATGAGACCAGAGGAAATGTTCTATATAAATATTTAATTTCTACATATTCTATCAGTTTCTTAATACATTAAACTCTAGAGTACTGAACCCAGTAACTCTTGAAGCAACGCATACTGACTTGAAGTTAGCATAATGTCACAAATTTTGAAATGGAGACTGAGTTTTGAAAAATTAAACCGGAGTATTTTTTGTCTTAAATTCTGAATGAGCATATATGTCAAACATTACTTTTTAAGATAAGTAGTTTTACAGCATGTGCTTTCAAAATTCTCCTACACCCCACAGAAGTGCGAAACTACTGGTATCCAATATGATTGCAACTGGGCATTGCTTGCAACTTCAGGTTTATATGTTCTTATTTACAATGCCCTAAAAATAGCAACCTTAAATTCTGAAGCAAGTAAAATTCCAATATAGTATAGGTCATTATTATATGATTTATGCCTACCACTAAAAGAATCATATCTGTTGTTTATTTAGCATATAAATCATATTTAAGTCCATGATAAGGAATGCCTAAGAATTATTGGTGACATTCTATAGTTTTGATATATCGCTTACAGTTTTGCTTCACTTGTAAATTTTGTGTAGATGTTATACAATATCTTATAACTCCCTATTTAAAAGGTTCCTTATTTTTAAAAAAATAGAATGCAACATATAAGAACAGAAACAGTATTTAATGGACAAAGGGTGTAGTAAATCTTTAAATTAAAAACACTTAATTTAAATTACTTCGATCTTCACACTGCATAAGTTAGAGTCAACAGAGGGAAATGAACTCTATTTAGCACACCATTTGTGTTTCAATTATTTAACTCTTACATTTTTACTAGTTTTAATAGGAGAAAATTTGTTTAGTGTTTAGATGAATTTGATATTAAAAAATATTACTCTAAGGGAGGGGACAGACTATATACATACATTTTTCCATACATTATTAAAATAAAAGGGTAAGTCTAAAAAAAAAAATAGAAAAGACCAAGAGAAAACATGGTGCCAATACATGAAAAGCTAAGCTGGATTCTCAAAGGCAATATACCACATGGCTAAGAACACAGGTTGTAGAGCCTAAAGTTGTATTATATTTATATTCCAATTCTACCACTTAATTAACTGTGTGTGAACTTGAGGAAGTTTTAAATTTTTCTGTGCCTCTGTGTGATCACCCACCTGCAAACTGGGGATAATAACACTGTCTATATTGCAGGGTTGCAGTGAGAAAATTAATGACTGATTGTAAGCAAAGCATTCAGAACATTATCACATAATAAGTGATCTATATGTGTTAATATTATTAATGTTTTGTATACAAGTTGCTCTTATTCAATACTATCAGTTCTTCCCACCTACCCTCTAAAACCAAAAACCAGCACTCCAATTGCACATTTAATAGAATAGTAAGCATTATTATGATAAGTAGAGTTTACTTTTATGCCACAAGTGAAAAATGCTAAAAAAAAAAAAAATTGAGATGTGGTCTCACCTTATACCTGAACCATAATTTGCAAATTCCTGGGCTAAATGTTGGTTTAAATACAGTACTGTAGAAAATGTGTTCCTGAGCTTGTTTCCTTATGTGCTCCTTCACCAACATTTTCATCTTTATTCTCAAACCTGACCTAAAAACCTTAATCAGAAATCTATGAGCTGATTTTGTTTGGTTTTCACATGGTACTTTATTTCTCCCCTTTCTTCTTCTTCTTTTTTTTTTTTTTGAAGATTTTATTTATCTGACAGAGATCACAAGTAGGCAGAGAGGCAGGCAGAGAGAGAGGGGGAAGCAGGCTCCCCGCTGAGCAGAGAGCCAGATGTGGGGCTTGATACCAGGACCCCGGGGATCATGGCCTGAGCTGAAGGCAGAGGCTTTAACCCACTGAGCCACCCAGGTGCCCCTATTTCTCCCCTTTCTCTGTTATAAATAATACCATTATAAAAGGCATGACTTATTAAATCTGGATTTTCAACAGAAGGATAAAAGTGGATAAAGTGAGGGAAGGAAAAAGAATTCCATGATTTCTTGAAGGTCTTGATAAATTTATCATTCAGCCATGAAGACAGAGAATAAGAACCTTCCCATTCTACACAAGATCTTAACATGCATTTTGAAGCTAAGGGCTTTCTTTTTAACTAAAAAGATGATTTTATAAAATCAGAGGAAATTAAAACACACTACTCATAAAAATCATCCATGATCCTCTCACCCTATTAGAATAGCTATTTTCATTTACATATACTATCCTTATCTACAAAACTATAAAGTTATCATGTAAGGGGTTATGAAGAATAAACCTGAAGTATTCTGGTTCCCACACCGGCCTGAGAATAGCAGAGAAAGTGAATATGGCACATATAAATATTTTCATTCCAAAAAAGCCTATCACTAGTTCATTGGTATCTAAGGTGCACTAATGGACACTTGATAGATAACCAAACTGAATGTATTCTTTTTAAAGTAGAAAAGTCTCAGTTGACCTTAATCAGAGTAATTATTTCTCTTTCAGATACTATGATTCTGGTCAGCATTCCAGTGAGAAAACTTATTTCAGAAAATGGGAGCAAGATGTAAACTTCCATTTAATTTTGTTAAGTATTTTAATTTATTTTTATTTTTTATTTTTTTAAAGATTTTATTTATTTATTTGACAGACAGAGATCACAAGTAGGCAAAGAGGCAGGCAGAGAGAGAGAGGGGGAAGTAGGCTCCCCGCTGAGCAGGGAGCCCGACGCGGGGCTCGATCCCAGGACCCCAGGATCATGACCTGAGCCTAAGGCAGAGGCTTTAACTCAGGAGCCCCACGTTAAGTATTTTTAAAGATATTTTGCACTTCATTTAAAGGCCTTTCCAAGAAGATAGGTAGATTAAATAACCATTACTTTTTCATGGTTGGTGATAAACTTTGACTTTAAAGGGACATTTATAAATTATAGTAAAAAATAGAGACACATAGGATGCATGTAAAAGAATGTTGCTTATTTATAAGAATAGTATTAGAAAGGTCACAGCTCTGTATAAATGAAAATTAATAAAAATTACAAAAACTAAACAAAGTCAAACTATTCTAAATTCTGTTCATATCAAAGACCAAGGATACCTTGTTGGTCGGTGAAAAGAAGAAAGTAGGAATCATTACCTATTACTTTGCCACTGTTTACTCTGTTAACTATAGTTTCCAGACTGAGATGAAGAAAGTAAAGTCCAAGGACACTGAAAGGTTTAAAAAGTGCAAATCTCAGGTTATTTTATATATACTTCAGGTTATTGAGAATACTTAGAAATACCTCCACGGTGCTATTAGTGTTCTTTGTGGGACAGAATGGAGAGGCACTATAGGATATGAGAAGAGTAAATGCCATTTTAACTTTCAAAAAGGAAAAAAAATGTTGATTTTGCATAACTACTTATTGGTAAATACTATTGGTAGACACTTTAATCCCTGCTTAAAAAATTTAGAAAATTTAATATAAGGGATGCCAGCAAGAATTCATGAAAAACAAATAATACCTGACCAGTGATTAATTTCAGGTCTCATGTGCTATATCTCAAGAGTTTGGCACAATGTCATGGCTGCTCCATAAATATTTACTGACTAAAATTATGACCAATTTCATTTCCTTTTTTAACAGTTGTAGTACTGTCAAAAATTAAATGTTAAAACAGTTTGCATAGTATTCCATTGTATATATACTATGCAGCCATCAAAAGAAATGAAATCTTGCCATTTGCGACAACATGGATGGAACTAGAGGGTATCATGCTTAGCGAAATAAGTCAATCGGAGAAAGACAACTATCATATGATCTCCCTGATATGAGGGAGAGGAGATGCAACATGGGGGGTTAATGTGGTAGGAGAAGAGTAAATGAAACAAGTTGGGATTGGGAGGGAGACAAACCATAAGTGACTCTTAATCTCACAAAACAAACTGAGGGTTGCTGGGCAGAGGGGGGTTGGGGGGGGTTATGGACATTGGGTAGGGTATGTGCTATGGTGAGTGCTGTGAAGTTTGTAAACGTGGAGATTCACAGACCTGTACCCCTGGGGGAAAAAATATATATATATATATATGTTTATAAAAAATAAAATTATTAAAAAAAAACAGTTTGCATATTATAAAACACTTTGTTATTTTATAATAACATGCTTGACTATTACATTATCAGGCCTATCTGGTATATATAGAAGATATGGAATTCACTCATTTGTTTATTCAACAAATACTTAGTTAATGCTTCAGTATGGCATGTGCTAAGCAGGTGTCAGTTAATAAAATAGATTAAATTTCAGTCTTCATGGAGTTTATATTCTAATTGGGGGAGAGAGTCAATAAACACATTAATAAAAATATTATGATGGATGGTGAAAAATAATATGAAGAAGCATAAATCAAGGTACAAAGACACAGAGGAACTGGGTGGGTCATCAGGGAAAGCCACTCTGAAGATGAGGGAATAAGCCAGGAGGAGAACTGGAAAAGTAGTCAAGCAAGGTCTCCTGATTACATTTTTTTCTTTTTTCTGATGATATTCTTAAGAACAAAATGGAGAAATACGGGCAGTATAACAGTTCTTTCATAAGTATTCCACACAAAGTTAGTGATTATTCTCCAAAAGTGCTAATTAAGGATTGATATTGACCTGGAGGGAGGTTCTAAGCACCATGTTGTGTGGCTCTGATCCGAGTACTGGTTAATATTTAATCATGACTTAAAGATACAAAAACTAGCTAATTAAATCTGAGGATGACACAAAGCTGGGAGACAAGTTAAAACTCTTGATCTACAGAAATAATTCTGAAAAAGATCTTAAGAGGCTGAAGTGATCACTCAAATCTAACAAAATAAAATCTGATCATGTTCAAAAAGTATTCTGCAAAGTACATGATAAGGAGATGTGGCTTAAGTAATAAAACCTGAATAAAAGAACCTCTCAGGGCTTGTTGATGCTAAGCCTAATTTAAATGTTGTGATATGATCACCATGCCCCCCCTCCCCAAGCCAATGAATCATTAAGTATTAAAGTGTTTAGGGACCAGGGAAATGACACTTCCATTCAAGTCTATATTCATAAGGTCATATTAGGAGTATTTTTTTTTCATTGTGAGGATAAAAGTTGAACAGAGGTTTAACACTGAAGCATCTGGATAGCACCTGCGATTAAAACCAATATAATAAGGAAACTGGCTGAAGAACTAAGGATGTTCAAAAGAGAGAAGGACAAAACACAAGTGTATGTGAGGGACAGGGAGATTAGAGCCATCTGCAAACACTGACAGGACCGTCATATGGGAAGTAGAATTGGACTTATTCAGTTTATCACAAAGAATAGAACTAGGACCCATGGATGAAAACAAAGGGAAGGCGTTTCAACTGATCATATAAGAAAATGTCACAATAATTTAAGTATGGATATTAAGACTCCCCTGTCATAGACTAACTGCCTTGGGAGACAAGGGACTATTATAGTGAGCATCCAGGGACTTACTGACCATTAAGGCACTTCCACCTATGTGGCTATAGCTGATATAATATATTGATCAGTTTCTTTTTTTAGTATTATTGAGATGGCAGCTTGCTTTTTTCCCTTTCCCCTCCCATTTTATTCTAGGGAGATGAAGTGCTTTTAACAGAGGTTTTTTTTTTATTTAACTTTTCTCACATTTTTTGTATTAATTTTTCTATTGTTCCAACTTCCCGGTTATATTTTCTTTGAACATTTTTTGGCATTTACAGTAATCTCCAATTACATATATTATTATAAGAAGTATAGCAAAATAACATAAAAATAAAGTGAGTTATATTTAGTATTAGTTACTTATCAACTACTTTTTATTTGCTGTCGTTAGTTAGATACAGGGTAAACTATGAAATCACTACTACATCTGGTGCCTTTAGGCACCTAAATCTTATGCTTTCTACAAAAGTTAATTCAAAGTGGATCCTAGATTTAAATGTAAAACATAAGACTCTAAAACTTTTAGAAGATAACACAGAAGAAAATCTTCAATACCTATGGCTTGTTGAAGGCTACTTAGATATGACAGCAATGAATCACCATAAAGGAAAAAAACCTGATAATTTGCACTTCATCAAAATTAAAACTTTTCTTTGTGAAAGATCCCGTTGAAAGGATGAAAAGAACAAACCACCAAAGGGGGAAAAAATATCTGTGAACTGCATATCTGATGAAGAACTTGTATCTAAAAATTTTAAAGAACCCTAAAAACCCAATAATAAAAATCCAAAGGGTCCAATTAGGAAATGGGCTTAAGACATGAAGAGATATTTCACTGAAAAGGATATATAGGTAGCAAATGAGAAAGTGTTCAACATCATTAGCCATTAGGAAATGGAATTAAGACTTCAATGAGCTATCACTATACACCTATTACAGTGCTAAAATAAAAAACTGTGAAATACCAAATGCTGGTCAGGATATGGAAAATACAGGTCAATCATACATTGCTGGTAGGATGTACAAAGGTATAGTCCCTCAAAAATAGTTTGGCAGTTTCCTAAAAAACTAAACAAACCCTCATCCAGCAGTTGCACTCTTGGACATTTAGCTAATGGAACAAAAACTTATGTTCATTTCAAGAAGCTGCACAGGACTGTCTGTAGGAGTTTTATTGTAACTGCCAAAGACTGGAAAAAATACAAATACCTTTCAGTTGGTCAATGATTAAACAACTTTGGTATACACATACCATGAAATACCATTTACCAATAAAAAAGAACCACTATTGATATAAGCAACAACTTGGATGGATCTCAAAGGTATTATGCTAAGTAGACAATGCTAATCTCAAAATACCACATACATGGTATGATTCCACTTATACAGCATTTTCCAAATGACAGAATCATAGAGATGGAGAACAGATCAGTGGTTGTCATTGGTTAGGGATAGTGGAAGGGGAGGAGATGAGTGTGAACATAAAGGGGTAGTATAAGTGATATATTTATGATGACAGAGCAGTGCTGTATCTTGTTTGCTGTGATGGTCACATATGTGCTAAAGCAACACAGAAACTATATACATGCATTGTACCAATGTCAAATTCCTGGACTTGAAATTGTACTGTGTGATTGTAATTGTACATGTAATTGAATTGTAATTGTACGTGTAAGTGAAATTGTACGTGTGATGTAATCACTGGTAGAAACTGAGCCACAGGTTCATGAACCTTCTTGTGTATTACCTCTGCAACTTCCTGTGAATCTATAATAACTGCAAAATAAAAAAAAAAAAGGCTTATTTGATAATTTCAGTTAAGGACATAATGACTTTGTATTTTGTACCATAATTCTATCTATCTCTGGAGCCTAGGAATAAATAAGCCTCTGAAGATGAAAGAAAGGACAATGAAGAAAAGAATTATAGGCTATGGAAAACAGAGAGGATATTAAATTGGTTAGGTAGAGAAAAAAACACAAAAAGTCTTTAAAACCATAAGTAATTACCTTAACATGAAATTCATTATCCAATAAGATATTTTGAGTCTTCAAGTCATGATGAAGTAGAGGAGGATTCATATTGTGCAGGTAGTTTACACCCAGTGCAATTTCATGCAGGATGCGAAATCTCAGTGGCCAAGCAACATCGGGATATTCTGTTTTCTTCATATACATGAAAATAAACAAAATGAAAATAAGTGACCATATTCACAAAATTTCCACTTAGAAAATTAAATATTCCATGTGGAAATACAGTATAAAAAAAGGTCAAGACATATGTTCATTTTTATTACACAGTATCATGGTATCAATTTGACATTATTTAACATTCATGTATATTTTAATTTCCTCAATTTTAGAAAAGATAATAATGACTTTATAGTACTGATATTTTCTTTTAGTTTATGTTAGTAATACAACTACATGGTATTGGCTCTTCTTTCTTCATTTAACAGTTTTCAATTTTTTTCTTTTTCTGTGTAATACCCAAACTCTTGTCTATATTCACACCTATCTCTTATTCTATGGTTCATATGAAGTAACTTACCTGCACGCACGCACGCACACACACACACAGAAAATTTCTTTCTAGTACATACCAAGCCATCAATTCAAAATTCATAATTTAAGTTTCCTATTGATATAAAATCATACCTTATTATAATAATCATTACATCAATTACAATTATGACATTATATTCATTTACTAAGCATGAATATCCTATACTTCTTATCATATAATTTTTATATTCTAGCTTGAAAAATTAGTCTTTGGGAGTTTTGCCTTTGTGAAAGAGAAAAAGATCATCTTCATTTTTAAGTGTATACAATACAGATATATTTAAAATATAATGTTTTACATATCCTGGTACTTACAGGTGATATTCATCTGAACTATCTGAACATAGAAGTCAGTGTACCTTCCCAGGAAAATGAACATACTTAGAACAATTTCTTCTGAAAATTATGTAGTTCAAAAGAGTCATAAGACCTCTGTGCAGTATAGTATCACATAGAGGCTTTTGATTGTGGAGACAGAGGTAGAAGAACACTCACTCTATATATTATGATTCCTTCTTGGGGTTGGGAGTCCCTTGAAGGAGGCTCTTTAATTTCTAATGGGCTCCAATTTTGGGCATCAGAGTATCTAATGGGTACTGGGGTGTGAGAAGAAAATATCAGAATTTATATTTATATTCATTTTTTAAAAAATGAAATTTTGCTTAAGTAATATTTGTATCTTGATTGTTGTTTTAGTTATACAAATCTTATACACAAACATCAGTTACTATAATCTCTCCTTGTCTCAGGTGGTCTATCATAAATAGTGATATACTTTGAAATAAAGAGGAAGTCACTACATGAGTGGCTGACAGTGGCACCCATTCTCTCTTATTGCTTACAGAACACTGTGATGGATCAGAATTTAGGAGCATCCACTAACTGGATTTTACAGATCACGTTACCAGGTTTTAACTAAACTAACACTCACAAAACAGACCAAGTGATTTAAAAAAGATTTCTGGAGAAACTGCAGGTTGCATATATTATTAATAATATAAGCTCAAGCAAACAACAATAGATGAATACACACAATTTGAGACTAAGGATCCACAAATTTCCTTACTGATAAGAATGAGGGCCCATCCCTCCAGTTTGGTCACTGATGGGATTCACAGTCAAATCCAGAATAACTAGTACCTGGATAAAAAGGTAAATGGCTCATGCCATTGTCTATCATTGGAAAAACCAATATATTTGGTATTCAGAGACAGACTTACTTGGCCTATTCAGAACTTTATGAACTGGTATTATAAACATTTAATTTGAATCCTAAATTTTTTTTTTTTTTTTAAAGATTTTATTTATTTATTTGACAGAGATCACAAGTTGGCAGAGAGGCAGGCAGAGAGAGAGGAGGAAGCAGGCTCCCGGCTGAGCAGAGAGCCCGATGTGGGGCTCGATCTCAGGACCCTGAGATTATGACCTGAGCTGAAGGCAGAGGATTTAACCCACTGAGCCACCCAGGCGCCCCCTAAATTGTTTTTAATATAAAATAAAATCTAGCTTAACTAATAGGACAGTGTACAGAGTTTATCTCTGTAGTGTACAGAGTTTGTCTCTTCTCTCTGCCTCCCCTACCTCTGTATATATACATGCAGTTACTGGAATTCAGTTTAAACCTCAGGATCAGTAACCTAAGCAAAATAACCTCAGTCCTACAGAATGCAGGGCCTGAATCCCTGGTATTTTTAACAACACAAAAGAAGCCATAAATTGTCCAACTTTACCACTGTAATTGTTTTCCATTATTCTTCTTTTGAGTCATCTACATCTCTCCAAATAATTTGATCATATGTAAAACCAAAACATCAGACAGCTTGAATAACAGAATTATAGCTACTAAAAATGCACAATACTTACCCTATGTAGGAGTTCATTTAATGATCCATTTGGCATGTATTCTGTAACTATTCCCAAAAATTCAGGCTCATTGCAAATTCCCAAAATTGGAAGAATGTAACTAAATCTAGCTTTGTGTAAAATTTCAGCTTCTCTTAAAACACCATTTCTTTCACTAAAGAAAGAAAATGTATAATTATTTCAAAGTAATGAAAAATATACAATAATCATGCCTATAACATTAAGACTAGATTTTTTCCTATTAATTGACCTCATGTAAATTATGCAACTTCTCTGTCCCTTAGTTTCTTCATATTTAAAGTAGATAATATCCACCCTATATACATTCCACAGGTCTGTTTAGAGATTATAGTAACTTCTCTGAGCCACTGACAGAAAAAAGTGCTGTATACACAGGTTATTATTATACTTTCCTGGGAACGGGAAAGGATACAATATTTGAGTAAGTTTATAAAGTACATCGATATTAGAATTATTGCTGTTTGAACTAATTACAGTTTATGTTGTACTAGATTATATTTGATTAGAGTATTATACTAAATTTCATGGTTGCATACCTTGTGCATTTTTTCCAGACATTTAAATAATAAACTTAAATGTTATAGATTTAAATGACTAGATGATAATAGTTGCATAAGGGTCAAGAATGCTTAGAAATTATATAATGGAACTCGGGAAAAGACTTCACCTTTCTCTCTCATCTGCATGTCCTTAGGACTTGAAACAGTACCCGGTACCTGGTAGATATCTAAGAGATATCTATCAAATGTATTCTAGGAAGTTACTAGTGAAGGTTGTGTTTGGAAAACTGCAGATTGTTTAATATGAATCAGGATACCTAACAGAGCATGTGAAAGGAATGAAGGTGAATAGGGTAGGCTAGAGCCTCATCTCAGAGCCCTAAAGTCAGGTAAGGATATTTACACTCTATTTGGTAGTTACCAAATTGTGATTGCAGGTTTTTGAGAAGGGTAATGATATGAGCAGAATAAACTTTTAGGATTATTAACTTAGCAGAAGGATGTTGGATCAGCAGAAATGGGCAGAGTTTGAAAGTCAGGTATTAGAATATTACAATACTAATTAAAGATGTGAAGCAATGAGAATCTAAAACTATAAAGGTCACAGTGAAAATGGAAAGAAAAACAATAGCTGAATAGAATGCCCAGGTGGTGGTAACTAAGATAGACATATTAAAAAAAAAAAAAAAAGCAAGGGAATTGGAGATATCACTGGTTTTTACCATGGATGGATGTGTTGGTAGCAGCAATAACAGAACAGAAAGTTTATTCAGTAAGCAATGATATTTATTGGGCAAACAATGATGATTAGTTGGTGCTTAAACCACTCAAGCTCTGGATGAATGGCTGTTGAAATAGGAAAACAACAGACATTCCACACCAGTCTATGAGGTTTGCTCTAAAAGCAAACAAAAGGCAAAATAAAGCAAAAATCTTAGTTACTTATGTTCTAAATAGATCATATATTTATGTTTTGAAATTCAAGAGTTACAAGCAGACATAAACAGCTTTTTCCTTCTCCCTGTTCTTCAGCCACTTAATACTTCAACTGTGAGGCCACCTATTATTCAGTTTATGAGACCTGTTTTAATTAAATTTATCTTCCCTAAATTGAAACAGTAAGAGATGGAGGTCAATAAGAACTACATCTTATTGTTAGCACTTACAGGGAGACAGAGAGTGGACTTAAAGATTTCTGGATACACTGAAAAAAAAAAAAAAAAAACCACCATAGAGAGAGCATGCTGGTGAAGTCTCAGTGATATTTAATATACTTGTGCTATCTGTCATTAAGAATATCAGGCATTCTTCCTTCTACTGTGATCCCATTATGTGTCAGCGACTTTATAAGTACTATCATCTGAAGACCAACCCTCTAAAGTTGGTTACCTTAACGCACTCTATATGAGGGCACTGAAGCTCAAATAAATAATTTTCTAATAGGCCAACATTAAGTGGCAGGGTTGGAGTCAGATTTGAACTGTAGTTGTGACACTCCAAAGCTTGTGTTTTTTCCATTCCACTGCTTCATCAAAGAAAGGAAAGGATCAAGGAAACTTCTTGAATTCAGATTTCAGGAAGACTGAGTGAGTGGCAAAACAGAAAAAGCCAAAAATAAATAGGTCTAAAATGGATTTTATATTTTTTAAAACAAAGAAGTTAAATTCAGCTTTCACAGATATATCACCAAAATACCCAAATCAAAATTTCAGTCACAAAACAGTTATGTCATCCACACCGTGTTTGAAAAACCAATCAGACACATCTACACATAAAGAGGAGACTGCTGGGGAAGGGCCACTCATTGGGCAGAAGTCAGATTACAGGGAATGACTCACTGATCACTAAAATAAGAACGTGTAACTGCACATAAACTTATTTTCATCCAGATGGTGTCAAAGAACAATGCAAACCTTTTCCACACCAGAGCCCAAGTACATGCATTTATTATTCCCACTTTATAAGTGAGGAAACGGACACCCTGTGAGTCAACTGCATAGCCTAGTTCTATGTTCAGATTCCATGAATACTGCTAATGTTAACATCTTAGGTAACGGGTGGGAGAAAGAACCTGATGCAGTAATGCCAGAGGGTTTAGCTTGTCCTTATGACATCTCTGACAACAGAATTTCCACCAATTACCTTAAGAATTTTAGGTTATGAATATTGTTAATGAGAATAGAAAGGGTTAGAGGAGCAGCATCCAAAATGGGAAGATCAACTTGCTTTAGAATACCTAAAGGGTCCATTAGGGTTAGATATCCATAAATTTACATAGCTGATGCTAAAATATTTTCAGCCTTTCTAACCAACCACCACCCTTCAAACTGGACTACATATACATTTGCACATTCGCCCAGCACTTGCTCCACAGAACTCAAGGCCCATGTGAAACAGACACCACATCTTCTCTATCAGTAGATCTGGATTATGATGTGCAAAAAGTGGGAACACTCTCCAGGGGTGTCCCAAACGTACTGTGAGATCTGGCCCACCCAAGCCTGATAGCGAGACAGCAAAGGAAAGCTACAGGCAGATGAAAGTCCAGTAACATTGGCAGGGCTGAAGCTGAAGGATTTATCTGACACTGGATACTAACAGCCTCTGATCAATCAGGCACCCAGCATGATGAATTCTGACATTAGATATAGGGGGAGGAGAGGAGAGTGTTGCAATCATGGATGTTAACTCGCCAAGGATTAAATGCAGGGCCTAGTTAAACCTCTACTGGAAGGCAAATACGCAAGACTAATGACTAGACCCACTGACTGATACATTCGATCACAGGTCAATCAATGGGACAGGACTGAAAATGTTTTTCTGGAAAGAGAAACTAATACTAACTTTCCCTTAAAACCCAGACAGTGCACGGAAATTGTTCAGGACGTGAGAGACATTAAAAAATTTCTGGTCTTGTCTTCTGATTCACTGTATTGTTAGCAAAATAATACACTTCTCTGGGGACAGGCTTCGCTGGGAGAGAGGGAGGAGAAACTAGACCAAATTGAGTTTGGTATCTACACTTTCATGACCATACGTAATAAACCACAAACAAAACAAAAACAATCAAAGGCCCACACCGAAACACCCTGACTTTTGTGTCGGGAGAGAGGAAGCCCAGGAATAAGAGGGACGGAGAAGGCGAGGGCAGTGGAGAGAAGAGATGAGCAGAGGAATGCGAAGGGTGCATCTTCAGAGAAGCCAGTTCTCCCCACCATGCAAGCCCCCAGGCTTGAAGGGCTGCCCAGAGGTGACGAGAGGCGGGGCCGACCCCCAAGCGTAGCCGCCGTTTGAGATCCAGACTTCGAGGGGTGTCCTACCTGTCGAGCAGCGGGGTGTGGATGTGCAGCTGCTTCACCGCCACCTGAACGCGCCAGTCTGCGTGGCGGGCGGACGACACGGTGCCTGACGCGCCGCGGCTCAGGAAGCGCAGGTCGGCGAGCTTGTGGCAAGGAATGGTAGGCAGGGCGCTGCAGATACCCTCCCGGTTCATGGTCGCGAACCGCGCGGGCGCTCAGGCCGCAGGCCCGCTCTGGGTGTGCCCGCCGCTTCGGCGGTTTCCGGGGCTCGTCGGCTGCGCTCGGGCGCCCGCACCCGCCCCCCTGTGCGGGAACTGGAGCGGCCAGGCACTTCCCGCGGCGGGACGCTAGGTCACGAGGCAGCCCATGCCGCGCGCCAGCTGCTGCTTTTCTGGAGCCGGAGCGGACTTTTCTTTCCTGGGGAACGAAGTTTACTCTACCCGGGCTACGCGGAGAGGAGGAGCTTCCTCCCCAGACCTGGCCCTCCCACCCGAGCCGGACGGTCCGGGCTCCTCCCTCCCGAAACTTCTCAGGCGACGAAAGCGGCGGACGCTGGGGCGGGGAGAGGGGTCCCGGCCGGCGGCCCTCCTCACTGGCTCTCGGCTGTGCCCGGGTTTGCCCGCCTCGCGGGCACCCACGCTCTGGGCGACACCCGCGGAGCTGAGGCGGGATTTAGGGATGGAGAAGGGAGTCAGGGACGCTCACTTTCTCTTCTCTCCCCCCAACTTCCAGGTTTGGAAAAGTTTTCTCTGAGGGGAAAAAAAAAAATCCTGTCAGCAGCCTGCTGTCCGATTTTGGTCAACGTGTTCTCACACCACAGAGGAATCTCCTCTGAGCCGCTAGCGGTGGAGGAGTCGCCAGAGCCAGAGATGGAGGGCCGTGGGTGGGGGCTTGGGATTACCGACTCCGCGCCTGCGCGAGATGCGCTGTGAGGGGTGGGTGTGGTGGCGATTTTGAGAGCCCGGCGCCCAGGTGCCTAGCGAGTCAGGTAGGGTGTAAATTACCTGCCTACCTGGACTTCAATCATCCCTCACTTCCAGGTGAGTAGGAGTGAGAGGTGGGTGATAAACCCTGTCAGAGTCTGACTCTGTTAAGAAGTGTTGGTGTTTAGCTCCTGTTCGTGCTCCTCTGCTCTTCCCTTTTGTGTCTTTAACTATTTGGAGACTGAAAAATAAACTTGAAAGGAATCAGTCCCTCTGATTCCAGGTAAGACTGAAAAAATTTAGTTTCTCATAGGTCTGTGGGGAATGCATTTCATTTTTAACCACAAACAACCAAACATCTTCCTGTTTTTTACCTTAGAACAAACACCTTTCTACTTGATTATTTTGTAGAATGAGTGCAGACAATGTATACAATACCAAGTCCATACTAGGCATTTTAATGAATTCTAAAGCCACAGTAATAAGGAATGCCTGACATAAGTGGGGGATTTCTGTAAGCAGAGAAAAAAATGTTTCCTCTATTTTTGTGTTGCCTGAAATGAGAGTGGCAGTGTTACTTTTACAATACTGGGAAGTTGTGACGAAACACTGTATTTTAAAATTTTGATCAATTAAAATAAAATATTTAGTTTTAAAGATATGGTCTGATACTCTGTACTTTATTGCTTAATAAACTTTTTGCTACAAAAAGTGCTCAGAAAACTTTTCCCTTTCATTCATTTAATTTTCCAGTTTTAATAAACTAAAGAGTTCCAGAAAAGAACTAAAAATAGGAGGGGAGGAAATGACCAAAAGAATAATTCAAGAAATTTTGGCATGATCAAAACATAGGGGTCTCCATATTGAAAGGGCCACCAAGTATCTTCAGTGAATGAAAAAACACCTATATGTAAGCACATCATCAAAAAGGTCAGAACCCTAAGAACAAGTAGAAGATTCTACAGGTTTTCAGAAAGAAGAAACAAGAATAAAGGGATGGGATTAGAATGGCATTAGATTTCTCAACAATAACACTTCTTTGTTAAAACACAGTGAAATGAAATTTCTTCAAATTCTAAAGGGCAGTAGCTTTCAACCTACAATTCTATAGTCAGCCAAACTGTTAAGTATAAGGGCAGAATAAAAATGTTTTCACATATACAAAGATGCAAATGTTTCCATTCCTTCCATCCACCTTTTTCCTTTTCTTTCTTTCTTTTTTTTTTTTTTTTTTTTAAAGAAAGATACTGGAGGATGTTCTCCAACAAAACATGGGAATAAATCAAGAAAGAGAAATACATGGGATCCAGAAAACAGGACCAGAGTGTGGGAAGGTAAACCCCAGGAAGTGGCAGAATTGGAGAGCAACCTTTTTTCATTGGAGCAGGGAAATGCCAGATTCCAAGGGAAAGGCTAAAGTAATTGATTTTATAGATTATCTAATTTTGAGTTTTTGGGCAAATTATATTGATGTTTGATAGATCTAATGAAATATGTGATAAAATTGTAGAGAGAACTTACAAAAATCTAAGTGAAGAGCAATTATTAATTCTATGAGAAATAAAAATTATACAAAACCAGAAACAACATTTCTACAAACTGGTGATGGTGAAAAAGGTGACTTTTCAGAGCTCTTGTAATATTAGTATATTACAAATTTCCAAGAAGGAAAGAGGATGAAGCATAGAACTCTATAAAAGTCATATTTTAATTACAGTGCTTAAAAAATAAGTAATATATGCACATGGTTCAACATTTAAAACTATAAAACGGATGATCCCATGGGAAACTAGGCAGAAGACCTAGATACCTCACAAAAGGGGCTATCTAAATAGCAAATAGCAAATGAAGGAGTTAAAGTGCTCAACACTGTTAGTTATCAGGGAACTACAAGTTAAAACCACAGTGTGATACCACTATACAAATATTAACTAAAAATTAAAAAGACAGATTATACCAAGTGTGGGTGAGGATTTGTAGCAATTGGAACTCTCCTACACTGCTGGTGGGAGTGTCAGTTGGTAGAACCAATTTTGCAAACTGTAAAGCAGTTTCTATTAAAATTGTGGCTAGGCAGATTCTATGACACATCAATTCCTCCTCTAGGCATGTGAACATGTATATGCAAATGCTAGAGTGTTCATAGCCATGCTCTCTATAATAGCTGCAAACTGGAAATTATCCAAATACCCATCAACTGTAGATTGGGTAAATAAATTGTGGCACATTTATACAATGTAACACCAAACAGCCATGAGATTAGACAATGTACAACAATTTTGATGATTCACACAAATATAATGTTGGATGGAAAAATCAGACAAAACAGTATATATTTTTATGAGTCTATTTCTATTAAGTACAAAAATAAAACTATGCTTTTAGAAATCAGGATACTGTCTTCTGTCATAGGGAGAAGGGTAGTGACTAGGAAGTGGCATGAGGAGACTTTTGGGGTGATAATGTTCTGTTTCTTGATCTAGAACCTAGACTCTAGGTGCCATTTACATGGGTGTGTTCACTTCATATACAGTCTTTGAGGTTACACTTACCATGCACTTTTCTGTATATTGGTATACTTCAGTAAAAAGCTAATAGGTTTAAATATAAAATATATATGTGGCTGTATATTATGTTTCTCACTTTATATAATTAGTTTCATACTATACTCTGTTCACCTTGCTTGTTTTTTTCTAACTATCTATGTTAGATGTTTGGAATTATACATATCCAACTTCAGTTTTCTGCTTCTTTGTTTATGAACTGCATAAGTTTGGGCAGTAACGTTTAAATTCTTTAAGGCTTCTTCTCTCCCTTTGTGCAATTATTGCTCTAACAAATTTTATGAATATGAAGTAAGATAATGAATATAAAATGGTTAGGGGCACCTGGGTGGCTCAGTGGTTAAAGCCTCTGCCTTCGGCTCAGGTCATGATCTCAGGGTCCTGGGATTGAGTCCCGCGTCGGGCTCTCTGCTCAGCGGGGAGCCTGCCTCCTCCTGTCTCTCTCTGCTTGCCTCTCTGCCTGCTTGTGATCGGTCAAATAAATTAAAAAAAAAAAAAAATAAAATGGTTAGTATGTGGCATATCCTCAATAAATGCTATTTTCATTCCCCTCTGTGTTTTCAATTCAACAAAATGTGGACCAGAACAAATCAAGTTCAGAATCTAGAGGTAATTACTAGAAACCGCTCTTCATTCATTAACCAAATAAATTACTACATAGAAAATGTTTTTCACTTAGATTGTAAAGCTTTAGGAATTTTTATTTTTTCACATTTTAGATTATAGCCTCGATTATAGCTTTTTTATTTGCTCATTGAAACAAATCATATTAGTAAGATTTATTTTATTTTTTGTTATTTATTTTATTTATTTTTAAAAGATTTTATTTATTTGAGAGAGACAATATGAAGTGGGGGGCAGTGGGTAGGAGCAGAGAAAGAAGCAGACTCCCCGCTGAGCAGCGAGCCCAAGGCAGGGCTCCATCCCAGGACCTTGAGAGCATGACCTGAGCCCAAGGCAGATGCTTAACTGACTGAGCCACTCAAGTGCCCCTTTTTGTTAAGTTTTTAAAAGTGCAAATAGGGGCGTCTGGGTGGCTCAGTGTGTTAAGTGGCTGCCTTCGGCTTGGGTCATGATCCCAGTGTCCTGGGATCAAGCCCCGCATTGGCCTCCCTGCTCAGCTGGGAGTCTGGTTCTCGCTCTCCCTCTTGCTCTGCCTACTTGTACTCTCTATTTGTCAAATAAATAAATAAAATATTTTTTAAAAAAGTGCAAATAAAGCATAATTTGGCAGAAAACATTCAATTAGTATGTTAAATCTGACTCAGATTTTTCCATATCAGCATGATCTGAGTTATGTGGCTAAAGAAACAGTAGTCCTTTAGAAAGACTGAAGGATTTATTGTGATCATTCAGAGTAAGTTGATCAGCAACCCAAATCTTTGGAAGTATTCCATGCAAGGAAACTTGTTTGCCAAAAAGTGCAAATTGCTAGTGGGTGGAGTTAGGGATTTTGGTGCTATTTCATAGCATTTGGACAAGGGACCGAGGAGTAGATATATCATGCCTCAAGTCCCTTGCTATCATGTTCCATGAGGTAGAATATCCAAGGTATTCTCAAGTAATAGAGGAGAGAAGAATGCATGGTAACTTATTGAAAAAGATGTTAGATGAATTGCCCAGAGTCACTGACTTTGTGTATTACTGTGACAGGATTTCCTGAGCAAATCTGAGTCAGAGCCTGCAGTCTTTCCGGGAACTGCCTGTTTGTATCAGTAGAGTATTCCATTTTCGGTTTCAGTTTATATAATGTTTCAGGAGAAAAATTTAGTAGCAAGAGGGAATTTCCCAGTTTCAAAAAAGATGGTCCTGGACAAAAAAGTTCACTATTAAG